AACTAACATAACATACACTCTGACACGTGAAACACTATCTGACACACATACACATACACAAACACACAAACACGCACACACACACACACACGCACACACACAAACACGCACGCATACACACAAACACGCACACACACCAAAGGTACACACACAGATGCATCAAAGAAACACACTAATAAACATTAAAAAAAAAAAAAAAAAATCTTTAAAATGTATAACTGTTAGATATAAGCAAAATGTAATGTATGCTATGGAAGAACGGGACATTCTGTCACAAGTAAATAACTTACTTACAAGAATGTCCCAGCACCAGAAATCTACTTGTAAAATATGTATGATTTTAAGTAATAAATTATTATTATTATTATTATTATTATTATTAACAATGAGTTTTGATGATCGAAATAATACAGAAGATATACTTAATAGATTAAGAAAATTGATATTATTTTTGCACAAGGCTGGCCAAGCAATATTAAGAATTAAGTCCATACATGAATTTATTCAATAAAATATGATCAATTCATAGTATTCTCTGCAGTTGTCTAAGATTTAACAAACATCACAACAGCAACCTAGAATAGTAGACTGACTATAGATATCCATATCTGACTATCTTCATACACCTTACTTTCCTCTACACATATATGTTTTGTGTGTTCTTAACTATATATCTAACTAGAAAGTACAGCCAGGATATCTGTTAGTGTTCCAGTTTAAACACTACAGTTGTTTGTATGTATACAAAATAATTAAATACAGCTTTTAAATATATCTGTACTAAAAGATTGGTTAGTAACGGCAAATTGCTATTGCTATTGTTAAGACCACTGCTACCTAATTTGTTATTTGTAAAGCGCAGTTTGTCTTGTTGCAAGGGATAAGGCATATTCTTTAACACTGCAGATTTTCTTGACTGTTCCCATACTACTATTTACAATTTTTTTATGAATATATTTTTATGTCCAAACCATTGAAGATTCTTGTAATTGTAATCAAATTTGTTAGTAATACAGCAGAACCTTGATAACTCAAACCTCGGTAACTCAAAAACGTCTATAACTTCAAAAAATAATATGTTCTCTTCCCATCAGAGCCGAAAACCTCTAAACCATAGATCTTTGATAACTTAAAACCTCTATTACTTATAATATATTGTGTTTTCCTTGGACTTGTTGAGGTTCTTCTGTATTTGTGTATTTTAGATGTAAATTTATTTTTTATTTAAATCTTTCAAGTACAGATGTAGACGGCCAGCTGTAAATTTAGCCAAAATACTGTTTATAAAACCTTTGCCGATCCCATGTGAGTTTAATTAGATGAACGCAGTTCTTTGTTCACAGATATCATTTATGATTTGAAAATGGAATACCACTCAATTAATTTTCATGAACCATTTGATGCCAATCCTTTCCCATTTATTTTGGGCCATCCCAATGTTCTACCGTTATGGACCAGTAAGAATCTTCGGTTGAGAGATGAAGAGTATTTCAATTTTGAAATAAGAGATGGATCTCCAGATCGTGTTTCTGATGTTAAAGGTATGTATTTAATTACTGCCGAATACTGAAATATTTAAATACAAGCTTTTGCCCGCGACTTCGTCCGAATTAAAAAAAAAACAAAAGTGCCTAGGTGGTCTTCCACTGTCCTCTACATCTATGCCAAATTTCATCGAAATATGTTCAGCCGTTTAGGCTAAAAATGGTAACATCCATCCATCCATCCATCTAAACTCTTGTATTTATAATATTAGTATGATTAGTATGATAACTGACTTACATCATTAAGATTAAGCTTAAATTCATAATTTCTTACAAATTTAATAGGCGGCCCTATGCCCTCTCATACCCTTGTCGTGTTGGGTTCAGGGACTTTGGGTAACTTTAGGTATATATCGTTTTAAAGTTTTTTTTTTGTGGAAATATGGCAAAAATCAGATTTCCAGCTAAGATTTGTCTGTACATCCAAAATAATGTGCTTACAGTGGTAATTATTTTCTTGAAAGAGCAAAATCTAGCTTCTGTACCCTTATCCCCTTTTTTGGAATACTCTAATGAGGACAAAGTAAAAAAATTTTTAGAAACTGTTTTTTTTCCTACAAGTTTTTTCAACAACTGCGTCTTAGACTGTATATATTTTTTTCAGATTTTTCTTATACAGGAATCGAGACAAACATTCCAAAGAGTATGTGCCATATTTGTAATATAGAAGTCCCATTAGGATATATGGGTTTGCACCAAAACAGTGAGAAACATAAGATATATGTGAAAATATCGGAAATAGCGTTAGAAAGGGTCCGGAGGCAAATGGGTGAAACATTCACGTCTGAAAATATGAACCCATCTATGTACTTCTGTCAATCCTGTGTTGCACTTTTACCTATAAAAGATAAACAAATACATCTGGATTCTCCAATTCATAAAAATTCAATATGCATCGACAAATTGTTGTCAGATTTTTCAAAATTATACTCCGATGAGGTAGACAAAAAATTCGAAAATAATATTGGAGTCGTCTCTAACGAAACAACACAATTTACTAACGAACCAGTTAATTTTGAAACTAATACAATACAAAACGTAAAACAAACAGACATCAATACATTAATAATAAATCCGAATAAATCATCACTTGAAGAGAATTTCAAAAATATCATAGACCATCTAACTACAGAGGTGTTTAAATGCAAAATAAAATATTTCGATCAACAACAATTGATTATTATAACAGAAGATAATATAAAATTAAAAGTAAACCATGATAATTTTCATAGTTTCTCCGCATTGGGTTCGAAACATGTACAATGCAAGTTATGTGGACAAATTACTAGAAACATAAGGGAACATATGTATGAAGATGGACATTTAATGAAATTAGCACTGCCCATTGACAAGAATTGTATGAGAAAGGTAAGATTAATACTAGCTTTTGCCCGTGACTGATCGCGTGAAATTAACAAAAAAAAATGAGTAGCATATGTGTTCTTCCAGACTTTACATCTATACCAAATTTCATTGAAATCCATTCAGCAGTTAATACATCCATCCATTTAAACTTTCGCATTTATGATATTAGTATGATTTTACATAAAAAAAGATATACCCTGGCCTATTCAATCTTTCCCTTACAGTGTTTTCTTTATAACTAAGTAAGATGAGGTTAAAAAATTTATCAGTTTCTCTGAAAGTATAGGCTCTGCCTACCCCGCTGTTACAAGGAAACGTTCATAGTATAAAAGAACTCTAGCTTAAGAAGCATTGAAAACTCCTTTTTAATTGCCTCTCTTGATCCTTAAGTGTTATTTCTATATTTTGTTGAATTTTAATATGCTTTTGCCCGCGATTTGTCTGATTAGAATTAAAAAAAAAACACTTAAGTAGCGCTTGTTCTACCATACCTTGTTTTAGATCTGTTATAAATTTTATCTGTATATGTTAGGCTGTTGGAGGATACGAGGAAACATCCATCCATCTAAATTTTGTTTCTCAAACAGTACGAGTAGCACTATGAGAATGACTTGTATTTCTAAGACAAAAATCCGCCCTTTTCCTAAAGATTAAAAAAAAACGAAATTATATTCTTAGTAAGAGTGGTATGGGCATTTTATAAGAAGGGATGAATCGTATGTAACAAGACGGACGTTAGTTATGAGTGTGGAGGTACACCGGTAGAGGTAGACGTAGAAAGAGATGGATGTATTGCGTGAAAGGTGTAGTGGTGAACAGTGGTTAGTGCCTGCTTTAACATCTTAGCACTGCAGGGCCGGAACGCCCGGTGTAATACCACGACCACACAGAAGACAGGCGTAAAATGGAACCAATGCCGTGTTTCGTCTGATGAGTGTGGTGCCAGAGGCCTAATTTTAAGTCCCTTTCACTTTACCACCCTTTTCTTAAGAGAAGATGGGGAGGGGAAGTGGATTTGATGATGGAGGAGATGCATAGGAAGAGGAAATATCCTCTTTATGTGCGTCTCCTCCTCCGTCGGATAAGGGTAGGCGACGCATCTGCAATTGCAGATGTCTATGGGCAGCGGTCGCTTCGCCATTTTGGCGGATTCAGGTGGCGGCTTGCTCGTTTGCCATCTTATGTTATAAAAAAAAAGGTGACATGATCAAGAAGGGAGTGATGACTGAGATGACGGATGATAGAGTGCTTTGGTGGACGAAAATCCGGTGCGCCCTACGTGAGTAGGATAAGGCAGGGGAGATGATGATGAATCTTAGTAAGATATTTGTTACAGATTAAAGATTCAAAAGCTCATTGTATTTTATGCAATGATTTAGTCGAAAATCCTGAAATTCATTCCCTATGTGACAAAGTCCATGACCGTTTGATGATATCAGCAATGTTTTATGAACAAGACGATATAATAACGGGAACCGAATTAAAAAACAAAGAAATACCATCGGAATACTTTTTTTGCAACGTCTGCTATATACCAGTACATAAAAACGATACAAACAAACACTGCAATGATGCTAAACATATATATAATACAAAAATAGATGGACATTACTTTCTAGAATATTCTTACAGTCTTCGTAAATTAAAATGCAACGTGTGTTTTATTTATTTTCCAACAAATATGATGGAGGAACATTTATCGAATGTTGACCATTTAAAAATGTATGAAAACTTATTGGCTAGTAATTATCTAATTAAATCAACGAAAATATTTTGTGAATTATGCATATTATATTTGGAGATAGGAGATGAAATGAAACACATTAAATCGACAGGACATTTAGTGCTTCTGAAAACGAAAAACTATGTACCAAAGGAGAAAACTAAAAAGAAAAATAAAAAAATCACAGAAACGAAAGCTGGTAAAGAAAAAAAATCTATACTACCCAATGTGGGGACGGTAATTGATAATAACGATATTCAAGAACAGGAATATGAGGATTTAGTTACTTGTAAAGTTTGCGACATAACAATGGAAGACACAGAAAAAGATATTAAAAACCATCTACATATTTACCATCAGATAGAAGATGTAACAACAGTTATAGAAAACAGTAATATAAAATTAGTTGGGTCATCATTAATATGCGTAAATTGCTGTGAATATGTCCCAATCAAAGATAAATTAAAACATCTATCAAATCCAACACATATTGTAAAATCTTTTAAAAAACCAAATGAAAATGTTGAACTCTCCAATACAATTGTAAACGACGATAGAAATAATAACGAATTAAACACAAAATCAAAATCGAAAGATACATTTTTTGTACCGAAAAAAGATAAAATCGATACAAAAAAACAAATAATTTGCTCCATTTGTAATTTGGCTGTACCTAATAGCGCCAATTCCATGCAAATACATGAAACTGGTAAAAAACACAATACAAATTTACAAGCTATACTATTAAAAAATAACATCGAAGTTAGACCTGATCATTTGCGATGCACAATTTGTTGCATGAATATAGAAAAAAACGAATTAATCCCACATATAAAAAGCGATTATCATAATTGTGTTGAGGAAAAAAGTAAAAATATAACCAATATTAGTTATTGCGATGTATGCAATAAATTTATAACAACAAATATGGAAAGACACGTTTTGAGTGCTGTCCACAAAAGTAAGGAGATCCCTAAAAATGTTGCCAGCTTTTTGTGTTTCGTTTGCGATGTTTTACTAACGAACAGTGAATCGAATATAAGAGAACATAATGAAGGTATACAACATAAGAATAACATAAAAATTCTAAATGAGAATACTGTTAAAGTTTCTAACAATAAAGGTTATTGTGAAACTTGTGATGTTACTTTCACATTTAAAATGATAAAACAGCACATAAATACATCGCAACATTTAATTTTAATGGGCAAAGATATGCAACAATAAAAAAATGAGGGTAGTTGAAAAAAAATCCAAGATCCAAACAAGATGTATTCAAAAAACTCAAGACATATGAAACCAGTTAACGAACAGAGTACTTTAAATGCTGAGGGTAGTTTTAAAATGTGCAATTAATTAAATGAGGGTAGAACAAAAATGTAACATCAATCAGAAGTAAATTAGAATATGAATTCGGAATATTCCAGAAAGAATAATCAGCGTTTTGTTGAAATTCTTTAATTTTTTTTAATCTTTTTCCTAATATAAGGTGGTAGAATAAAATTTTGGTCTACCCACATTTATTCCATACCATTCCATGTGTGTAAATAAACGCATTTAGATAAGAACTACAATATTCAATTATTACTGTAAAATACTTGATAAATAATAATTATAGCTATTTATCCGTATTTAAAAGTTTTGATTGATTTTGATAATCTGTATTAAAAAAAAATATAGTCCACCTGTCGTTCAAGGTTTTTTAAAAAAAGTATTCCATCCATGTATTTTTGGGTATTTCTTAACACTATTTAATTTTGCACAAACGAAATCCATTTTAACTCGACTGTGATCAAATTAAGTCACAATTATTTGATTGTTGATTTTAAGCCAAAAATATTTTAGTATATACGTAAATGTACAATCGACATATTTTTAAACGTAGAAAAAAAAGTAATCCTTTTTTTAAAGGATCACGATAATGTACAGTCAGGGCACTTTCCGTTGTGCTTCTTTCAGATATTTGTATCAAACTCCTTGTAAATAACCAATTAGTATGTGCAAATAACGAGATAATAATGCAATAATCACTTGTGCTAACCCTTTTTTCGTAAAGATTTATAAGCTGCGTTATATTGATTTTTTGTCCGCGTCTCGTTTACAAATGTCTAAAATGATTGTAGCTATTTTGGAACACCGACAGTTTCCCCGATTGTACATACGTTGTAGCGGAAATCCATGACAAAATATATGTTAAAAGTGCTTAAATACACTGAGTCTGACCTTTTTTGTATAAAACATTTGTCCCAGTTTTGGCGGGTATTTTTTAAAATATTTTAGTGTTAGTAGTGTGTAGTGTAGCTTTCTAATCGTGAAGTTTTTGAAATGTCTCGAGTAGTTTTTGAGTTTATTAGTTACTAATACATAAATGTTCCTTCGTTATGTTAGAGGTATCGTGATCTCTCTCTCACTCTTTATAAAAAAGACAGTATATTGATGTATACCGTCTCTTTTTTTGATAAGTGACACGACAATCGGAACTTACGGTTATAAAATATGTACCAAATGTTGATGTTAAGGCTTTTCACAATGTCCAAATAAAATATTGAAAAATCAAACATGTAAATGTTTACGGGTCTGTTCCAGCAAATTTTGTCTGGTAACAATCGAACGTGTCAAATATGTAAATATCAGATTTTGTTACCTTAACCCACAGTGACGTCATTTAAGCTATCTAGTGTCTTATCAGTTAGTGGTGGGACAGGCCCTAAATGTCTTTTGATGATTGAAACGCCCACGCTGGCATTATATGACAAAATACTCCTAGACAAAATGACATGATTACCGATATCGCTAGTAGAATCGAAATGTGGCAAAATGTAGGAAATACAAAGGAATACGTGACAATCACGTGAATTATAGATTTTTAACTTTTCAATATCGATATTCGAATATTACTTTGTATAAGGGCACAGGCTCTTAATATATTTTTAAGTAATTACTCGTTCTGTGGTACTTTTAGAGGCTTGTTCCGTTTACCTAACCAGTTAGGTAACAAGATTTTTTTTCCTTTTCCGTAACCGGTAGGGTGAGTGCATTTTTTTTCCGGGCCATTTATTACTTTTCCGCTGATCTAGCTGATCGTTTTAGCATGGTATTGATGGCATGAAACTAGAAAGTGTACCCACCCTAGCTCAAAAACTTGACTGGTTACGGAAACGGAAAAAAATTGTTGTTACCTAACTGTTTAGGTAAACGGAACAATCGCTTTTAGACGTTAGTTAAGGTATAAATACCACATGTTATCTCGTTTTCTGAGAAAACTGAGTTCACATGTTCATTCTTTGTTAGTGTAAAACTGTTTTATTGCAGTCACGAGTTAGTAATTTATATATAGACTATCCTTTTCTATTAAAATCGTCAAAATATACTCAAGATATTTCAATTTACTAGTTGTTTTGTGAGAATTTTTGAGCTATGAAGGTTAATTGTAAAAAAAAACAATTGTTGGTTCAGAAAAATTGTGTAAATTACGAGTTTTAACGTAAATTATAGTTCGTGTTAAAGATTTTTGATTGGAATTAATTCGATATGTTTGAATGTGACTGCTGTCGAATTATAAAACTACCCATGGTAATTATTGTTGAAAGTAATAGAAATGCTTTTTTTAACGTTAATACGTAGAACGTTGTTTTTGACTGATTGGAAGACTGAGGAAATGTTAAAGTCCCTCGTCTCAAAATTATATTTAGTAGTGAACAGAATATAAGTAAATAAGTGTTTAGATAAGAAATTACTACTTTTTTGATGTACCCTTTGCAAATGTTGGTAACCCCTGCTGTTTTAAACTTGTGAATCCTCTAAAACTTCCCGTCTTATCTTCTTTAGAGGGTTTCCGACAACTTTATTGCCGTACACCTTTGACTAAACGATCGCACAACTGGTGTACGATTGTCTATTGTTTCGCAGCCTCCAACTGTTTAGTTGCAGATTCAAAGCGAGACTATACAGTTGTGCGATAGTTTTAGGTGTGCGCGCTGTAAAGATTGTTTTGTTTGTCCGACAAAATTATTACTGTTTTTAGTTTTTGTCTGTATTTAAAACTTCTCCGCCTCTATGAAGTTCTGGATTAGCCAGACTGAGCTTCTATTGTGACTGATTTTCTACCTTTAGAAGGTATTAGGTAAGGGATAACTTTTGTCTTAGTCGTGTTAGATGTTAAAATTATTCGATAAGATTAAACATCCTTTATATTGTCTTGTGATTTTATGTAATTTTTGGCGGTGACTAACTAATTGTTATATTCTTCTTTGTTCTCGTTGACAAAACTGAGAATTTTGTGTACAAATGTCCTGTAATTTTTGTATTATGAAGGGAAAATGTTTTATTTGTGAGAAAAAATCAATCTGTGTTATGTACAATTTTGTTAAACGTTACAATTGTTTACTACTACTACAGGGTGGTTCATTTCGATTTTTTATATAGTAAATGTTTACCTCTTGATTCTAGTTTTTGTATTATCCTTAAAACAGGATTTAATAGGATTGGGATTAGAATGAAAAATACACATTTCTATCTTGAATTTTATATTTTCCTACGTAATCGAGGTTTGTCAACTTTCGCAAATTTACACTTTGGATCATCTGAAAATTATGAAAAATCATATAAAATATGTAGGTAGTCAGAAATCCGCAGTGATCGTACTATATATTGGCTCGTTCCTTGCACCGAGACTAACTCTTCCTCATACAAATAATCAATTAAGTAGCAGAGTACGCAAACAACGGGATAGTAAAAAGTTACGTCCAACTGGTTATTAGTTCGTATTGTTTTAATGAATACAAAACATTCAAACGTATAGCTTTAAAAGTGACACACCGACAGATTCTCTGATTGTACTTTGAGAATATTTTATGACTACCAATCTGTCATAATGCAAGTAAATAGGGAAATACGACTGAATTCATGAGAAATTGAATAAGCAATTACTTGTTAATCCAAAAGATTTTGCCTACTAAAACGTAGAAAAGGATTCTAAATGAGGGTAGTTTTAAAATTTCTTACTAGTATTCCCTTTCTCTCTACATCGTATATACTTTAAGACTACATCTTCGTCGTTCGGATCTTTCTGTCTGCCTTTTGTCTTCATTCCAGCTAAAAATGGCGCTGACAAGACACACGGCCGACGTGCCACTAGTTCCAATTCTAGAAACAAGAATTGATTTTTAATGTAGGGTAGTTCCACAAAAGATACAGACAGCAAATTTGCTACAAACTTGACAGTTTCTTGTAGGATGTATATGGAAAAAATTGTAGGGTAGTTATAACTTTTGTGAAAATTATAAAATGTGGGTATTTCACAAACTCACTCTTTTCAGGATGATTACAACTAAACTGTCTAAGATGGCAGACGCTTAGAAACGTTCTGTAGACTCCCGCTCGGCATCGAGCACACACCATGACGTCACGAGCTGGACATTCCGTTGGACAATCCCCATTTTCTATGTCCTGTGTATTTACGTCTGCTGAAAAATGAATTAAAAAAAAACATCAAGCGAGCTATTGATACCTTGCTTAATTATTATCACTGTCCTCGTGAAATTAAAGAAAAAGTATATGTTCTTCCTATGTTCTACTTTTATGACAATCAAGATCGGTTCTGCAGTTTACGCTACAAACTTGCAAACATCCACCTAAACGAATTTATAATATTATTATAAGTATGACATGCAGAGAAAGAGAATATTCCCCTTACTATAAACCTAAGTCACTTCCCTTTCCTTTTCTTATATAGGTAACGGACTAGATAGTAGAGAAATCGCCATTGGATAGTGTGGAAAGTACCCCCTTTTTTGTTATCGGGGGGAAATCTTCCGTCCTTTTATAAAAAGCAGGGTTATGTAAAATTTCTAATCACTAAAAACCCCTTCGTTGGCCGCCGTCGGTTGATATTTGAGAGTCCCGGGATCTCCAGTGAAACCGGTACCCTCTGCACTGAGCTTTTGCTAGATTCCCGGGGAATTTTTTCCCAAATGGCAACACATGACTACACAGTAATGCTCTCTTCGCTGCATTGTTAAGGGGGGAAGGAAGTACCCCCTAGAGGCTTGAAATTATAAAAAAGACATAAAAACTAATTGGAATACTATAAGCAGCCCCCTCTTTTTGGGGGTATCTTCCACAGATAGCCTGCCCTGTGAAGAAGACAAGGTTATGTGATATTTTCCAACTAAAACCCCATAAGTGGTCATCCTCAAGTGCAGGATTCAAGTCTATTAGAGGATTCCGGGATCTAGGAATACACCGGAACCTAAGACCTAGACTAGATCGTGGTAGGCAGGTAAAGTACTCTTGTTGCTCAAATTGAGTGTTTCGAAGATTATAGCAATGTTTTTTTTTTTGTTGATAAACAAAGTATAAATTGTACATACAATCACTGCTGTCAGGTGTCTCTGGTGTCTCCACTTCTTTATTGACATCATCCGATTCTGTTGAATCTTCTACTTCAGCATTCTGTATTTCGATGTCGTTTCCGTCATCTTCTACACTCGTGCCCACTTGACCGGGTCCAGGCGGCAAATCTTGTGTTTTTGGATCCGTTATATCTTCTAATTTAGTTTCATCAGATCCAGCAATCACTTCTGGTTCCTCTTCATTGCTGTCTTTTAGATCTTGTTTTATATGTAGACTTACATTCATCTCACTAACGTCATCACTGGCTTCATCATCTGAGCCATCATCAATACTCACTTCATCATCGATGTTCCCTTGATGATCGGATTCATGTAAGAAAAGATAAAAAATCAATCAATATCTATACTAATATAACAAGACGGACGTTAGTTATGAATGTGGAGGGGTACATCGATAGAGGTAGACGTACAAAGAGATGGATGGATTGCGTGAAACGTGACATGATCAAGAAGGGAGTGATGACTGAGATGACGGATGATAGAGTTATTTGGAGGACGAAAACCCGATGCCCTACGGGAGTAGGATAAGGCAGGGGAGAAGATGATGACTCATATAATAAAGCGTATACACACACTACTTTGTGGCGTGAGATGTCAGCAATTACAGCATGTTTTTTAATAATTCTTTTTTTAATAAGAAGCCCTACACTTACGTCACGCTTTAGGCTATATATTTTCAAGCTATTAAACTTAGGGGGTATAATTTTGGATAAAAACCCTAAAGTGGCAAAGGGATCATAAACTACAAGCTGTCAACATTAAGGAAGGTTATTATGGTAACGGTAATTTTGACAGTTGCAATTGAGATTTTGACAAATGTAATTTTTTTTTATAATTACATGCGGATGAAGATGCACGGGAACAGCTAGTAATCTATATCTACCATACTTATATTATAAATGCAAAAGTTTAGATGGATGTTTGTTATAGTTTGTAGCCTAAACTGCTGAACGGATCTCAATAAAATTTGGCATAGATGTAGAGGATAGTCTGGAAGAACACATAGGCTACTTACTTTAGTTTTTCTTTAATTCCACGCGGACGCAGTAGCGGGCGAAAGCTAGTATCTATATAATATTACTAGCTGTTGTCAGCCTGATTATCAATTTAAAAAGTAAAGTTTTGAGTCTGGTTGAAAATAGGGCTTTACCTTTAAAAATAACTTACCATCATTAAATTCTTGTTCTTCTAAAAATTTGTCATCTCCCCCTTCTACTTTAAAAGACATCATTTCTCCATCACCTCCACCTAAATTACCTTTAACACTAACATTTAATTCCTCAACTACTTCTCCACTTAAATTCCCACTTCCTTCCTCCTCCTCGTCTACAATATCTTCAGAAATATCTCTTCTCTGCGGTCCAAAATATAGTTTACTATAGTCGATTTTGTTTGATTTCAAAGGAATTTTATTCCTACGTGATTTTAAGGTTATATTATTCTTTGACGTTTTTGCTGAAATAAAATATTTGCTATTATTTTTTATCAGGCGTTGAGATTTTTTTATTGTTTCTATTATTGTTGGATATAGTTTTTTTTTGGAAAGTTTCTTTGATATTTCATAGTATTTACTTACCAATTTTGGGACTTCTTTTCGGCCTTTTCTTCTTCAAATTCCCTGGTAATTTAAAAACTTTACTTTTGTCAGTGTAAATTAGAATAAAATGTTTCTTGATACGTAAAACAATTACTCACCAACTGTTGGTTTTTCGCAATTTTTCATTGAAACTAATGTAGCTTCTAAACCTGCGAATATTTTGATGTTTCTAAGTAAATTATTAGTAAGATTATATAATACTAGCTGTTCCCGTGCGGCTTCATCCGCATGAAATTATAAAAATGTTAAAATTGCAAATGTGAAAATTATCGTTACCACTACAACCTTGCTTTCTTAATGTTGGCAGCTTGTAGTTTATGGTCCCTTTCATGGTATTTTCCAATTTATTTACCCCCTAAGTTGTGAAAATAAACAGCCTAAAGTATCCTTGTAAGTGTAGGGCTTTTAATTAAATAAAGAATTATTCAAAAATATGTTATGATTGCTGACATCTTACGCAACGAAGTAGTGTTTACGCTTTATTGTATTAGTATAGATTTCGGTTACAAACACTACACTAACTTTTGACAGGAAATTGCGCGGGAAATTAAAAAAACTATCTGTAGCCAATGCGTTTTTCAAGACTATCTACAACATCCTTGCAGTCTTTCTAGACTTTCATAATGAGAAACATCCAAAGTTTTTTGTTTATATTAGTAAAATTATAGAAACATTTAAATATCTTTAGCATCTTAAAATATATGTAAACCGATTGTAAGCGAGGCTTACTTGATTGTAAGCTTTATAATTTTCGTTTCAATATTTGGCTGTTTAGATTTTTTCATTTTACAAAAAAAACTTTAAAAAGTTATAAAAAAAATTACCATCATGACACTTAATGTAATCGATTTCACATTTATTCAACACAATAATATGTATTTCCTTTGTATTGTTTGCTTTTTTATTCTTCAATTTAATACATTTCAACTCCTCCGTTGTTGGACAATTGAATTTTTTACAATTATTCGTTTTATTTGCATGGCGATGTTTGTTTAATTTTACAAAAGATTTCGTAACATTGTTACTCTTTGATGTTGTATTTCTTTCACATAAACACACTGAAACTACATGAAAAGATAAGTCTAGAGTAAATAGTCCATTAACACGAGCTTACAAGCAATACTTGTTATATTTTTAAATTAGAAAATATACACTAGGAATTCCAAAATTAAATTAGGTGGAGTCGTGGTCAAGCGCTGGTTTATTTATATTAAAAAAAAATAAAAAAATAAATATTGAGTTATCAAGAAGTATTAACTTTTTAACTTGTTTGATGGATTTTATTCCTAGTTTCTGAACGATTCTTTATGAGTGTTCAAATTGAAAAAAAAAATAGTCACGATAAAATTCAAGCTAATTTAATATGTTATGTGAGAAAAATTGTAACTACTTTTATGTAAATTGGAAACAATTAAAGACGTTTAAAATAATTTATAGGTCTTTTCTATAATTGCGTTGTTTAGACTCTCCCCTCTGAATGGTAACGTGATTGAGGAAAGGGAAAATCACGTACAAAAAACAATTATTTCCTCGTTTGAAAACGTTTATAAACATCTAGATTTCGTCCGCGTGGAATTATAAAAAAACAAAAGTGAGTAGCCTGTGTCCTTCCAGACTATCCACTGCGCCTATGCCAAATTTCGTCGAGATCCGTTCAGCCGTTTTCAGACTACAAACTCTAACAAACATCCATCCAAACTTTCGCATTTATAATATTAGTATGATTAATTATCCATTTACAACTAAAACATGTTTTAAAACTTATCCTCATTATTTATGGTATTAAATAAAATTGATTGTCTATTGTCGATTTACGAAACATAACCTAAAAGTGCGTAAAAATCCCAGTGAAAATACATACCGAGTAATAAAAAATAAATTTCATATCTCATTATGTAGCAAACTAAAAGAAACTATAAAATAAAACCATCTATTGAAATATAATGAAAAACACTTATATTTGCTATGCTATGAATTTTCTAATTAAATCGAACATACGATTTTAAATTATTTTTTCAAAAGGAAAATAAAACTACAATTTATTTTATGTTATTCCATACATTTTGTATCTATACATACATTTTACAGTAAAACAAACAATCATAAAAACTGTATTTTTGTATATTGTTTTATTTATAACATTTTTAACTGGCTTTTGCTTGTGACTTCGTTTGCGCGGAATTAAAAAAAATGGCCTATATCAGTCAGCGATACTGTAGCTTTCCAATAGTAAAAGATTTTTTGTACCAGCACCAGTAGTTTTTGAGTTTATTCGTTACATACAAACATAAATCTTTTCTCTTTTTAACATTAGTATAGAAAACCCGTAAATAGTAACAACCCCTACATTTTCAATACTTAACATTATAAAAAAATAATTAATTGTTGTATGTTACGAGTAAACTCAAAAACTACTAGGGCAATTTCAAAATTCTTTCACCATTAAAAAGGTCATTTATCTGTGAATAACATAGGATATATTTTGTATAATACTTTAATTTTACGAGAGCGAAGTCGCGAGCTACAGCTGTATGTAGATGTAAATTTTTACATGTATTGAAATAACTCAAAAACTACTGGGGCTATTTCAAATATTCTTTTACTGTTTAAAAACTACATTATCACTGAATAACATAGGCTATGTTTTTTTTTATTTCACTTAGACGAAGTCTTGCAACAGCTAGTCATTAATAAATTCATCAAATGATATTTCTTGTCTAGACATTTCTAGTGCTTTAAATCTTCTGTCAGGGTCCGCTAGCCAGTCGTAGTTCCCAGTCCTGGCGGTAACTAATTTTGATATCATCCAACGCATTAGTTCCATTTTCTCTACCAACATATTTAGTTTCCTGTAAAAAAAAAACACCATAAAAACACAAGGCCGGAGGCCTAATTTTAGTCCCTTTCCCTTTCCACCCTTTTCTTAAAAGAAAAGGATGGGATTTGATGGAGAAGAGGCATATGAAGGGGAAATATCCTCTTTATGTACGTCCGTCATTGAAGGGTAGGCAGCGCTGCAATTGCGGATGTTTATGGGCAGCGGTCGCTTCTATTTCGGTGGATTCAGGTTGCTTGCTTGTTTGCCATAAAAAAACACAACAAGTTTAGTTACACAGCTAGAAAGCGAGTAGTGTGCACACCTCCTTATAAGCTCTTAGGAATCAAAGTGAGACCAAGCATTTGTACAATAGTTTAGTTTTAGGTGAGCACACTTTTACTAATATTATAAATGCGAAAGTTTAGATGCATGTTTGTTAGTTTGCATCCTAAACTGCTAAACTGATCTCTATGATTGTCATACATGAAGAGGATAGTATGGAAGAATGTATAGGCTACTTGCTTTTTTTTAATTCATATGGTTCTTAATTAAATATTAGGGTTGTCTAGGTGGGTAAGTGGTCTCGAGGGTGCTGCCAATGGCAGCACGCAGGCCGGGGTCGTGGTTGTAAGCGCAAGCATACCCGTAACCCCAGCTTAAGGCAAGGGAAGAACCAAGGGGTTTAGTGGATATGCCCCCATTATGGGGGAGAGTCCCACATAACTACCGCGACCCCCTGAGCGCGGTGTATGCGTAAGATGCATTCCCCTCGGATAACAAAAAAAAAGGTGGGATGGTGGTCAAGCGCTGGTTTACACATAATAATAAAAAATATTAGGGTTTATTTGGCAAGTCTACAGCTTAGTTGGTATGGTAAAAGGAAATATTAGTAAATTGACAAAAATCTACTAACATGTTAGTTAAAAAAATATATTTAAAACTTACTGATATGCGGGTCCATCTTTTGTTAAATCTCTATCAACTCCTCCATTAGATTTCTTCATGTCTTTCAATGTTGCCATTTCCGAAACCCACTCTGACCTTAACATTTCAAGTGTGTCCTGTTTTTCCTTTAGTACTGTTTGTAATTGCATATCTTGTGTTTCTAATTGGGCAAATTTTGTTAATATCTCTTTGATTTTCCTGTAAATTAAATAGGAAAGTTTAGATGGATGTTTGTGTCTCCAAGATGCATGGAACTTGCTTTTTTTATAACATAAGGTGGCAAACGAGCAAGCAGCCACATCAATCTGCCAAAATAGCGAAGAGACCGCTGCCCATAGATATCCACAATTGCAGATGAGTTAACTACCCTTATCCGACAGAGGAGGAGACGCACATAAAGATATATGCCCTTCCTATGCCTCTCCTACGTCAAATCCACTTCCCCTTCCCATACTCTCCTTAAAAGAAAAGGGTGGTAAAGAGAAAGGGACTTAAATTAGGCCTCTGGCACCACACTCATCAGACTGTACATATAATTGCCTCCATTTCACGCCTGTCTTCTGTGTGGTTGTGGTATTACACCGGGCGAGCCCAGCAGTTGTTTAGTGCTACTGCCCTGTTTAGTGAGCTGGTGATGATAATGATGATATGAAATACGAAAATCACATTAGTACAGCAGGATTTGAGCTGTAGATTACAAACAAGGGCAAATCCAGCTTTGGCACCAGTGGGGGGTCACACAGTCATGGTCCAGTCAAAAGCTTGACAAAATATGTAAATAAATCTTGTCAAGCTCATGACCCCCCCCTGGATCCCCCGTTGATTACAAGTCAAGATTATTATGAATTAAATAAATATATACCATTTTCTTTCCAACATATCTTGATCAAGACTCCGGTCTGATGAAATCAATAGATTTTTTACTGCATTTGTTTGTGTCAAAGATTTTATAACTTCCTTTTCAATTAGTGATGATATTGCCGCATCTTCATAGTCCTTGATAATGTTGCTTTTGTCTTTATTTACAATTATTTCTTCAGAGGCTGAAAAATTAGAATTTATCTATACTAGTATTATTATGTAAACAGACATAGTTGTGTAGGATGTCAAGATATATGAAAACTAGAATGCTGCATAAGTTATCAAAATTTTTTACGAAATTTAGATTTTAAATATTCTTGCACCATTAAAAATATAAGTTTTCAGTAATAGGCTTTATTAAGAAATGGTTATGAATTTATTTTTTGGACGCCCATCGATGTCAGCGATTTTAAAAAAGCGTAACTTTAATAAGTTTACAATTTACTTGTAACACTTACAAGCTAATGGTTTTGCTTTTAATAATCTCAATTTCGAAGTAGCAAAAGTTATGTCTTTCAATTTCTTGGTAATCCCATCTTCGTAACAATGATTTCCGGTCGCAGTAAATAGTTCTGCAGATTCTGTATGCAATTGTTCTTTGAACGTATCGCTGATTTCCTTTAATGTTGCAAATCCATTCATTTTTATTACAGAATCATTGACCGTTTTAATTAATTGTACCTTATTGTTATTTATAAACAAACTTTTCGACTTCTTCGACCGTTATTTCGTTTTAAAATCAAACGTCAGTGTCAATTTCAACAAAATAATTGAAAGTATTTTTACTCTTTGGCCACTGGAATTTATTTATTTTTTGGATAAAATTTTTTGTTTTTTTTTGTATTTCAATGCAAGTATTTTAAATAGGTACATTTAATTTATATATAAAATCCATTTCCATTAAAAAAAAAACGTACTGTATGATTTACATTTTTTCTATGACGAACAACTAATGTGACAGTTTTTATTATTTCGGGTTTGGTCATGTCATTGTCATTAAAATGTCAACAAAGTGAAAAATAAAAAAATAAGATATTAATGATTAATGAATTTTAGCTTAATTAATAGGGAAGGTGTTTGCTATGTAAATAATTAACATTGGTTTGACTAATAAGAATCACACAAGTCAAACAGGACAGGAAAATGACCGATGAAAACTATCTCTGCGCTTTACCGACTGAGATAGTAATTTACATTTTCACATATTTACCTGTGAAAGAATTGATAAAATGCCGTCGGGTGTGTATAAGATTAAAGCAAATAGCCGATAGTTTAATTGTAAGCGAAGGATTATGGCGGGGACACTGCAAAAAGGATTTTTCGAATGTCTACAAAATCGCTCGATATAAATCGAGACCTGGTTTATTATGGTATAATATTTACAGATCACTATCGCTTTGGTCAAAATTGGCCTTCGCTCGTGAGGAATATGATGAATTCGCATCCGCTGCTGATCTAAATAATGAGATATCTAATGTTGTTATACTGAAAGATGGAATCATTGGTGTTCATACACAAAGCGCTATTATTTATTACGATATTGAGTCTCTAGAGAAAGCTAAGCGTGGAGCAATAACAGGGACGTATTTACGCTATATGGAAAATGATGATACTATTGTAATATTGAACTACAACCTGCAATTGTTTATTATACGTAAAATAATACAAAACCCACGTTACGAAACAAATATAACATTCGACAGTATTAAAAGTTTTTTATTAGTCGATGAATTGATATATTTTGTCACTTTAACTGATGATATTTACGTGTGCCAGCTGGAGAACCTATCCAGTGAACGTTTAGGGCATTCAGATGAAGGAATAATGTCGCTAAGCTTTTGCCGCAACAAGCTACATATATTAACTTTCCAACGAAGTATTCTATCTTATGATGAGGGTAGTCTGACACTTGAGTGCACAATAACATCGGATATGCATTTATTAAACCAATTAGCGGAATACAATTTCCTGGAGACACTCGATTGGAGGATTTACAACCATTGGATGTATGTACTAAATTTAAAACTACCCAACGGTCCGCTGCGTGATATAATTAAAGTACATGTTTACGGTGATGTGGTATTTGTTGGATCAAACTGGGGTGTTCTGCGTATATACTTTGCGCCATATGCTGATGGTTTATTTGACATTTATGATGCTGAACCAGTAAGACAGTTCAATTTTATGGATAGATCGGACTGTCCTGTGTTAACTTACTGTCCTATAATACAAATAGATGTATGTGAGAGTGAAGATGGGCATACAGTGATAGTTGCAATGCCGAAGAAGATAGCAGTATTGAATTTCATTCATAGCTTCAAGAGGACGGCGTCAGTCGCTATGCTGCCATACACTGATATACCAAAGACAAAGACACTTAAGATTCAAGAATTAAGTTCTAAATAAAATAAAGGTAATATGTCATTGATTGTGTATTTAATCTGTGTGTAATATTATTAGATGAGAAAATTTGAGGTCAGAATAGAGGAAGAAGAAAGTTTATGTACAAACGTGCTGTCCCCCGGAAACTTTGTTAGCGCGGATCTAAAAAAGTCATCTATCACACTCCTGCGTGCATCTACCTTCTACCAGTTATCTATTAGTCAAAGTCCCGTCCAAATTGGTCCACCCATTCCTAAATCTAAAAAAAACAACCTATAATATGCCTGTCTATGTCAGCTACCCTCCTGTGAAAGGCCGCTCGAAATCGGTCCAGCCGTTTCGGAGATTGCCCGGAACAAACGCGGCTTACGGACAGACGGATAGACAAAATTTTTTCGTTATCAGCAATGTAAATACATCAACATCCAGAAATCTGAAATTTTCTTTTTATATTGTCTGTAGACACTCCAATTTTTTTATATGTCTAGATAGATATGCTGGGGAAGGCAGTGAATTCAGATATTTAGATAGAGATGTATGTAAGAGTACATACTGTACACTACGTAGGGGAAAGTATGTATTGTGTTGCAGATATGCTAGAGAAGGCAGTGAATTCAGATATTCAGATAGAGATGTAAGAGTACACACTGTGGACACTAAGAGAAAAGGAAAGTTTATGGCCAGAATCAACTTGATTTGTACTTTCATGTTCAGTTTATAATATACCCAGTGAGATTGTTAACTGACTAAATTCACAATCAGGATAGTATTATACTCTCACTGCCTTACATGTAAGTTTTTATAGCCTTTCTTGCTCAGTATTGTAATGCACTGAAATAAGGTTGGATTTTATATTTCATCTTTGTAATAGATATAACCTAGCAATATGAATGTTTTCTTGTCAGAACACACAAGCAATTGTTACTTAAGAATTTAATTTAAAATAAAATATGACTACCCCTATGACACTCCTTAGAAGACAAATCTAACAACACCTCATTCATCAAAATACAGTGGTAGTGCCCGCTTTAACATCTTAGCACTGCAGGGCACGCCCCCAGTAATACCACAACCACACAGAAGACAGGTGTGTAATGGAAGCAAATCCGTGTACAGTCTGATGAGTGTGGCGCCGGAGGCCTAATTTAAGTCCCTTTCTCTTTACCACCCTTTTCTTATGAGAGGATGGGAAGGAGAAGTGGATTTGATGGTTGAGGAGATGCATAGGAAGGGGAAATGTCCTCTTTATTTGCGTCTCCTCCGTCAATGAAGGGTAGGCAACGCATCTGCTATTGCGTATGTCTATGGGCAGCGGTTGCTTCACTATTTTGGCGGATTCAGGTGGCCACTTGCTTTGCCACCTCATGTTTAAAAAAAAAATTTGGTTCAGGAGTTTAGTCTGTAGGCTGTTACATTCACACAAATTCACAAACATACAAACATAGATTTTTGTGAAAAAATTGAATTTTTATAATAATGCATGTTGTTTATTATAACAATAAAATCCGACAAGATATTAATTCTGTTGTATAGTTAAACGGAAATTAAAAAATATTTTCAACTAGCTGTTCCTGTGCGGCTTCATCCGCATGAAATTATGTAAATTTTATTTTTTTGTTTACATTTGTCAAATTATCAACAGCAAATGTCAAAATGACATGTCATGACAAACCTTAGCAATCTTACTCTCTTGATGTTGGCAGCAACTTATGGTCTCTTTCCCACATTAGGGTTTTTATCCAAAATATTTACCTCCTAAGTTTAATGGGGTGAAAATATATAGTCTAAAGAATAACGTAAGTGTAGGGCTTTTTTTTAAAAAAATAATTATTTAAAAATGGTGTAATTGCTGACATCTTAGGCTACAAAGAAGTGTGTGTTTACGCTTTATTATAATAAGGATAGAAGTATAGATTGATGGTATGACCAGGATAAACTTACGGGCCTGTCCCACCATTGGCTGATAGAGGCTCAGATGGCTTAAAAATGACGTCACTCATAAAAACAAAATCCGATATTCCCATCACATATTTTACATGTTAGATTGTTATCAGACAATTTACAATTTGGTGAGACAGGCCATTAACCTTGTAATATTACTGGAGAGTGTTTCACAAAGCAGATTGAAGGATACGATTTTTATGTCTTCGATTAGAGCACACCCACACCATTGTTTAGTCCCGCTTTGATTCCTATGAGCTAATATGGAGTACACAATACTCGTTTTTCAGTTGTGCAACTAAACAGTTGAAGGCTGCGTAACAATCGACAATCGCACAACAGTCTTGATAGCTTGGCTGTAACAGTGCAATTTTAGACTTTATGCTATTAGAAATAAGTGGTTTTTAAATACTACTGATTTGTTCAAAACATTAGTTGCAATTTTAGATTAATGAAACTCACATTAGCTTTGCATATCAAGTTTTATAATAATGTAAGACATCTAATATATATAATTTTTTGAATCTGTATTACATAAGGTATGTGGGTAGTCAGAAAAAAGTAACTACCTCCAGTATTTAGATGGACTACTTTAATAACCCTTACTGCATTTATTAGTCCATTAATGCAGTTTTTTCAAGTTCAGTGTTAAGTCATTTAGGGAATTTAACTGGAGGTAAATCAACTTTTTTCTAACTACCCACATTATTATTTATTGAACTGAAGCTGTTATTTTTTGTGTTGTGATGAAATAGGCTGTCATTTTTTATTGAATAAAAATTTTTAGCTTTTATATTGTTTTATTTGAAATTATCTAGTTTGGAGGTTAGAGTTCGACTAAATTGTTATTACTTGTAGTCTATGGTGGGGTGACTTATGAAAATGTTTTACTTCTAATGGAGATGGTGTTTTTATCTTGGTTCCTTTACGAGATATTTTAGCGTAGCTCATTGTTTTACTTTTTGGCATGAATTTCTTGTATGAATTTATTAATTTGGGGTTACCATAGTCGCAATCTACGTTCGGCCATTTTGTTTTAGAAGCGATGCCGTCAACAAAAGATATGTGATTTTTATTTCTATGTTCAGCTAAAGTTTTCAACGCTTCGAACATGTTATAAGGTTCCTTGTATCCGCTAGACATTTGTAATTCCTTTTTAATTAAATTGATGAATTCTTTTTTACTATTACGTTTAACGTCTTTGTTTTTGTAAGTCTTTGGTTTTGAATTCATTAGCGATTGCGTTTTTAGGTTATGTTTTATAATTTTTGGTTTTTTAAATCTGATTGGTTTAAGATTTTCATTATCTTCTTCTGTTATGTAAAATTTATTCGGTGTGTCTATTAAATCTATATCATAATTATTTTCTCTATTAATTATCGATTTTTGTGTTTTTATAAAAGTTTTTTCTGTCTTGCTACTCGAAGATATTTCTTGTATCGTATCACTGTTGGTTTCGTTAAAATCAATACCGAGATTGAATACTTCGTTTGGTTTTTCTTTACTTATAGTTGTGTGTTCTGAACTTTTCATTTTGTCTTTTCTTTTTATCCATCCTTCTAAGACTTCGTCTGCGATTCTGTCGATGCCACTACACGTATTATGTATATCTTTATTGTACATGTTACTAGGATTATCTTGTTTGCTTATCATTGATATTGTATTAGTAACGCTGTGATAATTCGTATTTCTAGAAGGTAAGACGTATATAACATCATCTTCTCTATTCTTCTTTTTATACGAAGATTGTGATTTCGTTTTAACCTTAAAATTCTTTGAATCGTTTTTTGTATCGCTTGTTGTATTTTTAGTATCGCTTTCTTTTTTCATATTTGAATTTTTCTTACGTTTAGTTTTAACAATCTCTTGGGTTATGAATTTACGATTTCCAAGTAGAGAAGTTGTTATGACTGTTGAGGAGAATTTCCCACGCTTAGCATCTTTTTTCTCTCTTCCACGATTCTTCGGTTTTGATCCATTATTGAGATTATCTATTAGAAGAATACAATGAAATATTGATTGATTTATTCTCTTAATCAATCTAAATTCTAGATTTAGGCTAGAGAGTAGCGGAACATACACACGACCCTAAAATCGTTAGCAAATATATCAGCCAATTAAAAAGCGGCCATCAAACTATTTTATACATCATCACCATCCTCCTTATCCTACTCCCGTAGTGTCAGCACAACAGGTTTTTGTCCTCCAAACTCTATCATACGTCATCTCAGTCATCACTCACTTTTTGATCATGTCACCTTTCACGCAATACATCTATCTCTTTCTATGTCTACCTCTACCAGTGTACCACACTCATAACTAACGTTCTCCTTGTAACATGCGATTCATCCCTCATAACATGCCCCCATGCTAACATTTACTCCTTACCTTCTCTAATACTGGGGCTACTCTCAAACTATTTTAAACACAGAAAGAAAAACTTCGAAGACCAAGAACCTTCAAAAGGGATGATCCACTGACCTATAAATGGACAGGCAATAAGATATGATAATTTGTGACTTTTTGATATAAGTCATGTTGACGCTGATGTTGACAATTGGAACAAATTGTAGAGATAGAATTAACTGTTATTAATACTGTCGTTTACGTCAGGAATTAAAAGATGTTCCTGACAAGGCCTACTTTTGTTATAATATAAGGTAGCAAACGAGCAAGCGGCCAGAATCCACTAAAACGGAGAGCCACGACTGCCCATAGACATCCGCAATTGCAGATACGTTACATACCCTTAATTCACGGAGGAGACGCACATGAAGACATTTCTCCTCCTCCACCGTCAAATCCACTTTTCATTCCCATCCTTTCCTCTTAAAAAAAGGGTGAAAACGAAAAGGAATAAAATTAAGCCTCCGGCACCACACTCATCAGACGAAACGCGGAAGTGCTTCCACTCCACGCCTGTCTGTGTGATCGTGGTATTGTACCGGGCGAGCCCTACAGTGCGAAGATGTTAAAGCGGGCTCTACCTCTGTTAAATATTATATTTATACAGATATAATATTTATGTATAATTTCGTATCCCCTGATTTAGCGTTCGTGGCAAGTACGGTTAGAAATCAATTTACTATACTTATGTGAATATTTACCATCTGTGTTTAATTTTTCTGGATTCCGAACAACGTAAGGTCCACGTGTCTTTAAAATGTATTTATCAACGCTTTTCTTTGTTTCGTTGGAATTTATGTAGTTGTCAGATTTCGCTAGCAATCTTCGTTTGGACCGTTTTACGGCACCGCTTCTGCTCTTGGATTCCATCGTGGTTTATTTCATGGTTTTTGGATTTTATTTTTACAAATTTACTTTGATTTTTTGCATGTTGATACCGTTTTTAAATTTTTGATTTGACATTTGATAGGTGGTACGAAAAAGTTTGAAGTTTTATAAGTAAACTTAAAAACGGTGATTGGATACTTTAAATAAGTAGATTTTTATGATAATAAAAATAAGATAACAATGTTCTTGGTTTTTATGTTTATGAATTAAAAAACACACTGCTAAATAAACTGTTTTAAGAGATTTCTACCGCTGAGTTCCATCATAGGAAGTAATCAGATTATGGTCCCACACCATCTCGATGACTGGCATTCCAAAACTGTGCGCTTTTTTCGAAACTGCCTCACAGCTGTGTTGTTCAATGGTCTGTTCGTAGCAATACTTCCAAGCCGCTACGACTTAGGGTCCTTCAAGAAGCGTATCACCTTATCTAAGACCGGCAAAGCATCTGCAGTTCTTACGTTGATGGTCACCTCGTAAATCTTTCTCTTACTAATATGATAAAAGTGAAACTTTAGATGGATGGATGGATGTTTGTTAGAGTTTATAGCTAACGGCTGAACGGATTTCGATGAAATTTGGCATAGATGTAGAGGATAGTCTTGAAGAACACATTCTATTCAGATTTGTTTTTTTTTATATCATGCGGACGGAGTCGCCGGTGAAAGCCAATACCTTGTATATAGTGTTTGTTTTTTTTTTATTTAAATTATGATAAAAGAGTTTCTAACAAAAAAGAAAACCTCCTTGGAATTTACAATTTCGATGACCCAAACAATCATCTGTCATTTAATATTATCGATTCAAAAAAAATTCTAGTGGAAAAACTTGAAAATTTCAAAGTAAAAATGTATAAGAAAAATATAAAAACACAGGAATATACAGGTAAAAGGTTTGAAGATAAAAATAAACCTAACGACGTGGAAATCGTTTTAAGAAAGATAAATAATAGATATAATAAATTTGAATCGACTAATCTTCGAGTACCGAGAATTTTACACGACAGGGGTGATTCTAAAAATACGAAAATCGATTTAAAACTCAAATACGATTCTTCGAAAGTAAACAGAGCAACGGAAGCTAACGCCAAATGTATTAAAACGGAAACTATATCGTATAGAAATAATTCGTTTAGAAAAATAAACGGATCAAATAGAATTCTACCTAATAGAGATGGACCCAATAACGATAGTAAATTAAAACTGATAAATTTAAAAACGGAAAAAGAAAAGGTGGTCGAAGACAAGAAAGTCTTGGAAAAGGAGCCACAGATACAAAAAACATTAGCAAAAAATGGTAAGCTTATTTTATTAATAGACTAGCTATTCCCGAGCGACTTCATCCGCATGAAATTATGAAAATTTTATTTTATTGTTTACATGACATGATGACATGCTTTCTTGATGTTGGCATCAATTTATGGTCTCTTTCCCACGTTAGGATTTTAATCTAAAATATTTATCCTTTAAGTTTAATGGCGTTAAAATATATAGCCTAAAGCGTGATGCAAGTGTAGGGCTTTTTATTAAAAAGAGAATTATTCAAAAATATGCTGTGATTGCTGACATCTTAGGCAACAAAGAAGTGTGTGTTTACGCTTTATTATAATAGTATAGATTAAAAAAACAAAATTTTTGAATTACCTAACTATAATTCCTAAATATGAATTAAGTATGTCGAAAAAATCCAAAATGGCCGTCGCCCCAAATGGCAGATAAAACATCTTACTTCTTACTAATATTATAAATGTGAAAGTTTAGATGGATGTTTGTTAGAGTTTGTAGCATAAACGGCTAAACGGATCTCGATGAAATTTGGCATACATGTAGAAGATAGTCTGGAAGTTCTGTTTTATTCTTAATCCAATGCAAACAGAGTCGCGGGCATAAGTTAGTAATCTATAAATTCAACAATAAATTAGTTAAAGTAGGTATTGACTTATTTTTTTTTTTTAATTGAACTTGTTGTGTCACACTTTTTGACGCCGGATTAGGTATCTAAAGGTAATAAAACTGTGAATATTAACACTGCAAAAACCTTTCGTTTTTTTTTAGATCGAATGGTAACAGAAAAAACAAAGGATTGTGATCAAAAGAAGCCTAAAATAAAGGAAGTAATCACTATACCTTATATACCACTTAATGATTCGGTCACGCAAATAACCGATGACGAAATAACCGAACCGATAAAACCGATAATAAAAGACACATCAAAACCCAGCCCTAAAACATCATCACCGAAAACTGTCACTTTTAAAGATCAACGTTTAAAATCTGGTAAAAAAATCGATAAAGATAAATTGAAAAATCTAACAAATATGAAAATGAAGAATAATAAAACGAAAACGCCGACTGCAGTGAAAGGTCAGCGTCGAAGGAAAAGATTTTCTGCGTCACCTGTCAAATGTGTTATTAACGAATTCGCGCCAACGGAAGTTGTCAAATGGGAGCCATCTTGTTTAACGAGTCAAACGCGACCGTACTACGAGGCGTGGGTCGATACAACTCTGACTGCGTTCTCCAAATATTCTGAACAAGAGAAATGTGTTATGGAAAAGGATTTATTAAAAGCGTTGCAACATTTAAAAAGGCCAGTTTCGCCGGAACTTATATATGAGAGATTGAAGGATGAGAGATATACAGGTAGGATAAGAATAAGACGTAAATGATGTGTCAAGTTGTCAAATTGTGTTGTGTTGTTTAGTATTAAAGTTTTTTTTTTTTGAACAAACGAGTTTTATTTTGTGTGATTTTATTTAGAGCGGCGGTGGCTTAGGGGTTTAAGCACTTAAACCTTAAATCTAGGGTTCGAATCCTGCTGTACCTGTGACTTTCGTTCTTTTCCGAATTCCATATGGACATAATTTACCCGACGTTATTGTCAAGGAAAACATCGTGATGCACATATCTGCGAATAAGTTCAAAGACATTTGTAAAGTCAACCAAGTACTTATAGAACAGCGTGGATTTAAGACCTAGTAACCCTTAGGGTAGACTCCGAGCCCCTCATTGTGGACGTATAGTGAAGTGGTAATGAGTTTTATTTTAGTTGTCTATTACATCCAGCATTTTTTTAATACCTTAACATTGACGGAGACGCACATAAAGAGGACATTTTCCCTTCCTATGCGTCTCCTACGTCAAATCTACTTTTCCTTCCCATCCTTCCGTATTAAGAAAAGGTTGGAAAGGGAAAGAGACTAAAACTAAACTGAAATAAGTCTAACATTTAAATTTCAAAAAGCAGTGGACTTGAGTCAGGATGATTTTCAAGTTAGAATTATAAATGCATGCGCACACCTTTGACAAAATTATCGCACGACCGTTGTGCGATTGTCGATTGTTTCGCAGTCAACTGTTTAGCACAACTAAACATCGAGTAGTGCTCATATAAGCTCAGGAATCAAAGCGCGATTAAACGGTTGTGCAATAGTTTGGTTTGTGTACGCTTTATATAAATTGAGAAATAAAAAACGCATATTGAATCAACAAACTTTAATTTGATAATCAGATTTACATAAAATTAAAAAAGTAGTACAAAACATACCAAAGGGAACATCACGAATATTCTACAAGTTTCCGTTACATGGAAAAATTGTAAATCTCGTACAAATATCGAGATGAGATATTCACGCAACTGTCTGTAGTCAAGTAAAAATTCGTGATAGACCCTCTGGGTACATTTTCTTTGGAAACCAGTTTTTTGTACATACAAGTTAAAACAAAATACAAGTTTTAATACAAATTTTAGGGTAGGTTGTATCTTATCGTGACAAGTTCTAAAACATACTTCTAGTGGTTGTTTTTTTAATCGCAACATTATCTGAATATTGCTAGTATAAAGTGATTTTTCGTTACTATTTGTAATCTAAAATGTTTGGAAATACAATTTACAAATAGTAACAAACTTTTTGTCCACGAAGATGGAAAAAATCGCAAACTCTTGTGAAAAATAGTTTGGGATATATTGAAACTGTATTTACTTAGCTGCCCAAGTATTTACGGACAAATGAAGCAAAAAAAGTGATTTATAAATTGTTCTTTTATGAAGTATTTTTTTTTTTAATAAAAGGACAAATGATACCATTAGAAAGGTAATTTATCTGGGAATAACATAAGCTATAATTTTAATTATGTTTTAATTCCACGCGAAGTCGCGAGCAACAGCTAGTAATATAACAAAGAGGAAAACTTTGTATCTTCGCATATATTCGATACACGTAAAAACCACTGGGTATAAATAATTACCCATTAGAAAAATAAATCTATCAATAACAAGCTTTTTTATTATTTTTTTAATATTCAGCTAGTAATAAAAATGTCAATTTAATTTATGTAAATTGTATTTGAAAAGGGTATTATTAACACCAAAAAACACGTTCAACGAACGAAGACGACAGACCTATCTATTTATAGAGATCTGTGCATTGGAAATGTTTATAAAAGTACCTATTACGTCACCATAACGTAAACCAGCTACGCAACAGTTTGGGGTGAAATCTGTCCATAAAGTTACCTCAAACTCCAATCGAAATTCTTAGAATAACATAGTTTCAAAACTATGGAAAATACGATAAAGACATTTTCTCAAATGTTACGTAGAAAAACCACAATTACTGTAACAAGACTAACAAATGTCTAGTAAGTCTGAATTGAGTAAATAACATTACCTAAATAGGTAATTGAAAATGTAATGAATATTAGAAAAGGGGCGTTAACATTTAAACCACGCCCCTGAAAATTCAAACCACGCCCACATTTGAAGACGATTTCAATATGAAATTCCTTTTAATTTGAAGAAAAATGTCAAAAACCAATAACATTAATTACCTTAATAGGTAATTACAAAACGTTTGCAATGAATATTAAAAGGGGGCGTTAACATTTTAAACCACACCCCTAAACATTTAAACCACGCCTACATTTGAAGGCGATTTCAATATGAAATTTCTTTTAATTTAATGAAAAATGTCAAAAATCAATAACATTAACTACCTTAATAGGTAATTACAAAAGGTTTGCAATTAATATTAAAAAAGGGGTGTTCATATTTAAACCACGCCCCTAAAATTTAAACCACGCCTACATTTGAAGGCGATTTCAAGATGAAATATCTATTAATTCAATTGAAAATGTCAAAAACCAATAAATGGCTTTTTAATAGCCATTTAAAATGTCAAACATAACTAGAATTTAAATTCTATGTTATAAAAAATTTCCTTCCGGAAATATGTAAATGACATAAAGCCATAAGATATAATATAATGGGAAACTTTAATATGGAGAAACGAAATTTTTAAATTTTTAAGTAATAGCGTATCTTCTCCATAAACACATTGTGAAGAGAGAATTAACTTCCCAGCGCTAATTCCAATAGTAACGACACGAAAATGTGTCTATCAAAGAAATACCAACCACAATATAGTAATATACTCGTATATAAACACTATATTAATATGGTTTATATTAAAAAACTACTTAAGTATGAAAAAGTGAGAATTCCGCAATAGTTTATTTGAAAAAAGCGGTAATTCTGCAACATGAGTGAAAATTTTAAATATATCGTTTTAGATAGTCTATTGACTAATTTGCTTACGTCACACGTCATTCGCATCCCGACTGCCGAGCAGAGCGGTTGTGTCGGTGAGCGGTAAAATACTCCAATGACAAGTTACTTAAATAAGGACATTTTTGACGACTTATTAAGTCCTAGACGGAATTATACCATCGAGATTAGTGAAATGAAAATGTGAAAAAAGGGAAATCTCGCCGAAATAGCGAATCGATGCATACACATCAAAAGCAGACTTTGCCTTTAATCAACGGAGACGAACAGAAAATGATATTTCTCTAATAATTCCACTTTCCGTTCCCTTTCCTTGTAAGAAAGGAACTAAAAGACCTATGTCTTCACCCCTAAGAGGTACATAAATGTCATTTAACTATCACTATTATAATAATATCGAAAACTTAAGAATAATCAATATATTATTAATATAAATATAGTTATATAGTTGTCAAAACAAAATTAAACATTCACAGCCTTACAAATAAACTCCGACCAAGGTTAAGTTAGGAATAAACTAAGTATAAGCTGAATTTGTACTAATATTTTCTTATACTCAGTTTATTCCTAAGTTTTTTCTTTTCTTTGTCGGAGTTTATTTGTAAGGCTGTAAGTAAATAGAAGAATCTTAAAGTCAAAATTATAATCAAACCGTATTTAAATTATGTATTTCACCCAAGAGTGGGCAAAAATAATGAAACAAGTATGGAATATAATCACTACCCAATATTGGGCAAAACTCAATACCGAATCTAACATTAAAAGATAGTTAATTGCCCAAAATTGGGTAAACTTCTACCAGTGGGCAAAATAATTGAAAACTTTTGTTTACCTCTGTAAGATTTTGCCAAACTTTAGAAATATAGCTTATGCCCAACTTTGGGCAAGTAACCAACGAATACAAAAACGAAGGTAAACTTTATAAGTGTTTTTTAGTAAATTACAAGTCATTATTTTAATGGAATTTAGAAATTTAGCATTGTCGTTTAAACGCCATTATTTAAACGTTGTTTAAGTATTCGGTTGTCAGTTCGCCAAACTTCGGGCAATTATTACCCAACTTTGGGCAGATTTTACCCAATTTTTGGCAATTTTTGCCCAACATTGGGTTATTTTTGCCCAAGTTTAGGCAACTTTTGTTTACATTTACTCTATTCCATCATAGCTGCGATCAATTCCGGGGCATCAACTACATACAGGCCCTTATCCATTTTGATGCACTTTGTGACCTTGAGATGACCTCTGCCCTCTTCATTTATCTCCATATATTGTATCGCTTTAGATAATTGTTCTGTTGTCGGTTCTTTCGGGAAATCTGTAAAAAAAACATATATGATGACGTCATAATCATTTTACATACTCTGTTCTTAGGGGGCGTCCATAAATTACGTGAGATGTTTAAGAGGAGAGGGGGTCGAGTCAAATATCACGCAATTTTTTTGTGATTGAAACAAAAAAATATATACTATTTTGGTCCATTTAATCCAGATTGTAAATTTTGAAAAATCTCACGTAAGATTGGGAGATGGGGTTGAATAAAATCTCACGACATCTCACCAGGGGGAAGTCGGGGGGCAGTAAACTTAACAAAACACATCACGTAATTTATGGACGCCCCCTTATGAGTCGTTTAATGGTAAAATATCTCATTAAAGGTATGTTTACTTTGAACGAATTTGTTTGACAATTTACATGATTAAAATCAATTTATCTTCTATACTATTATGAAGAAGAAAGATTTGTATTTTTGTATGTAACGGGTAAACTCAAACTATTGGGGCATTATTTAAATTCTTTCACTATTAGAAAGCTTCATTATTACTGACTCATATATGACATATTTTATTATTAAGTACTAGCTAGTTCCAGTGCGGCTTCATCCGCCAGAAATGTCAAAATTCAAAAGCACAATTAACAATTGCTTCCTTGATGTTGGCAGCAACTTATGGTCTCTTTCCCACATTAGGGTTTTTATCCAAAATATTGACTCCCTAAGTTGAATGTCGTGAAATATAGCCCAAAGCGTGACGTAAGTGTAGGGCTTTTTATTAAAATAAGAATTAATCAAAAATATGCTGTAGTTGCTGACATCTTAGGCAACAAAGAAATGTGTGTTTACGCTTTATAATAATAGTATAGACTAGCTGTTACTCGCGACATCGTCTCCGTGAAATTAAAAAAAATAGCTTTTAAATGGTATATCATTATAAAAATACAAATCTTTCCTCTGTATAGATAAAATTTTTAAATCACACTGAAATTGGATTATTCCCAACCATCACCCCGCTTTGTCGCCACGTGGAGACAGGTAAGAATAAAAAGATTCATTCGTCCCACCTTTTGCGACGAGGGGACGGTTGGATCATATTTTATTTCTTAGTGGTTCCATCTGTCATCTTATTAGTAATAGTAGGACTAAAAGGTGGGATGGATGAGACTTTTTTTTTCCAAGTGTGGGGACAGTTCGGGGTGACGGTTGGGAATAATCCCTGAAATTAATATTTTACAATTTAACAGTATCCAATATCACCACAGAAAAGAAATTAAATAAACTACATTTACTAGATATCAAACAAATTGTCCGCCACAAAACATTTTTTAAACCAGCGCCATCTATCTACAATTACTAGATATCATTTAAACAAATTCCCACAAGAAAACATTTTTTAAACCAGCGCCATCTAACGACAATAACTAGATATCACTTAAACAGATATCCGCAACATTTTTAATAACAACGCCATCTATCGCCCTCACCTTTAATCTCCAAATGCGCAGCCAGCGCCGGTATGCCAATCACAAACTCTGGCAACATCTTCCGTACAGCGGCGACCGGCACCACCTCCATATTCCCGTAGTCAATGTACCAGAGGCGAGCAGTCGCGCCGCCAGCGCCGGACATCTGCTCGCAGAACACCGCACGGAACCATTGGGGATCTGAAAAGTTTATAACTAGCCGTTGCCCGCGACTTCGTCTGCGTGTTTGTTAACTTTCTTAATGAATCCCACGGTAACTATTCCCGGGATAAAAATAGTCTATGTGTTCTTCCAGATTGTGCTCTAAACCAAATTTCATGGAGATCCGTTCAGCCGTTTAGGCTACAAACGCTAACATCCATCTTACAGAATCCAGAACATATATCTTCCATTATACATATAATAAAATTAGAGTGTGTGTAATATCAAAAGAAAAATTCCAAATTTCGAGAAGATGTATTTGCGTTGGTGATAACGAAAATCGCATTTAATATTTTGTCTGTCTGTACGCAAGCCGCGTTTGTTCCGGGTAATCTCCGTAACCTCTGGGCCGATTTCGACCAAACTTTCACTGGAGGGTAGCTGACATAGACCCGCATGTTATAGGCTACTTTTTTTTAAAATCGCGATGTCAAAATGGCGACTAGAGCGCTATCTCTGGAACCGATTTGGACGGAACTTTGAAAGATAGCTAGTAGAAGGTAGATGCGCGGGAATGTTATAGATGACTTTTTTTTTAATCCGCGCTAACGAAGTTTCCGGGCGACAGATCTTATTAAAACTAAAAAAGTAACCTAGAATATCTATGTCAACTACCCTTCCAGCTTTTATTTAAGGACACACTATTATCAGTTTTAGAACACCAATAGATGCAAAGGGTAAAAAAATATTTATATTTTTAATTTACCTATCCCACCACTGGCTGATAGAGTCCCAGATAGCTTAAAAATGACGTCCCTGTCAGATAAGGTAACAAAATCCGATATTTCCATCACATATTTACATGATGGGTCAGGTCCCTAGTATTTGTATTTAAACTGAATGCGGAATTGGTCCCACTTCACGCCTGTTGATATTAAACTCCGGTACTGAGTCGGGTAAAAACTGCAATAATACTCACAAGGCGGGCATTGTGCTATACATAGTTCTTCAAACTTCGGTAAATAAGGTTCTTTACCGATATCGCTGTTGCAATACGCCTCCATCTGTAAAATAACGAGAAACATTACTAATATTATAAACTAGATGTACGCGACTTCGTTCGCGTGGAATTGAAAAATAGTATAAAAAAACCTATATTTGATAGCATAGCCTTTTAATGGTGAAAGAATTATTGAAATCGTCCAATTAGTTGTTGAGTTATTTCAATACATACAAAAATACAAATCTTTCTTCTTAATACTAGTCTTGAAGTATAGATGAATGTTTAGATGTTAATTTTTGGCAATCGAGCAAGCGGCCTGAATCCACCAAAATGTAAAGCGACCGCTGCACATAACCATCCGCAATTGCAGATGCGTTGCCTACCCTTCATTGACGGAGGAGGAGACGCACATAAAGAGGACATTTCCCCTTCCTATGCGTCTCCTCCACTCCACCGTCAAATCCACTTTTCCTTCCCATCCTTTCCTTTTAAGAAAAAGGTGGAAAGGGAAAGGGAAAGGGACTAAAATCGGGCCTTCGTACCACACTCATCAGACTGTACGCGGAATTGCTTCCACTTCCCACCTGTCTGTGTGGTCGTGGTATTGCTGAGAGCCCTACAGTACGAAGATGTTAAAGCGGACTCTACCACTGTGTATGTTTGTTAGTTTCTACACTAACTTACACTACCACGACCACACAGATAGGCGTGAAGTGGAAGCAATTCCGCGTACAGTCTGATGAGTGTGGTGCCGGAAGCCTAATTTTAGTCCTTTTCCCTTTCCTCCCTTTTCTTAAGAGGAAAGGATGGAAAGGAAAAGTGTATTTAACGGTGGAGACGCATAGGAACGGAAAATGTCCTCTTTATGTGCGTCTCCGTTGAAGGGTAGGCAGCGCTGCAATTGCGGATGTTTATATGCAGCGGTCGTTTTCCATTTCGGTGGATTCAGGCCGCTTGCTCACCACCTTATGATATAAAAAAAACAGTGTTTCCACTAGAAATATTTTAAGAATATTCAACTAACGTATAACTAACCTGTTCAGATAATTCTCCTAGAATCTTTTTAGCTAGAGGCTCTCCCTTCATATAGCCAGATATTGTAGCGCCATCTAGCGAACTGATATCCAAAACTTCAATCTCACAACCGCTTTCTGGGAGTTCCAGATGTTCTAAATTGCTGTACATTATACATGCACTTTCTGTGAAAGAGATTGTTAGATTATTTTTAGTTCTAGTAAAGCTCAATAGTATAGAATATTATTAAGAGGAAAGATTTGTTATTTTGTATGTATTGAAGTAACTCAAATACTGGGCAGATTTAAATATGCACCACCAGATTCCGTCCGGGACTCCTTCCGCGTGGAATTAAAAAAAAAATAAGTATCCTACGTGTTATTCCTGACTATAGCTTACATCTATACCAAATTTCATCGAAATCCGTTAAGCCATTTAATTTTCATTTCCCTTTATATTAGTTCAGAAGATTTTTTTAGGTTTCTAGGTTTGGATTTCTTAAAAAGGACGGCAAGATATAAAAATATCGTTCGGTTTTTTTTTTATTTTTCCTTATTAGCAAAAACGTAAAGGATGTACTTATACATTATTTTAATTATACTATTATAATAAAGCGTAAACACACACTTCTTTGTTGCCTAAGATGTCAGCAATTACACCATATTTTTGAATAATTCTTTCTTTAATAAAAAACCTTACACTTACGTCACGATTTAGGCTATATATTTTAACGCCATTAAACTTAGGGGGTAAATATTTTGGATAAAATCCCTAATGTGGGAAAGAGACCATAAATTGTTGCTAACATCAAGTAACCAAGATTGCTATGGTTTGTCATTTCATGTCATTCTGACATTTGCAATAGATAATTTGACAAATGTAAACAATAAAGTTTTTATAATTACATGCGGGTGAAGCCGCACGGGAACGGTTAGTATTAAAATAAAATCGATTGAAGCCCAATGCGATTAACCCCGGTATCAAAAATTCAGCCATTTGAGAGTTAATTTGAAATCTTACCAACAACATCAACTCCTGTTTTCTCCATTTTCTTCCACTCAGGAGTACATAATTCCTCCAATTTAGTGTTCACACATTCCTTTGTATCAGCTACCGTGAGTTTAACTTCCGCGCCGCTCGGCGCTGTCTTCTCACCATTCGGGATAGTCTGAAAAAGTTTTTTTTATATCTATTTATTATATACAAAAACACAATACTACGGAATACAAAATTTTAGAAAAATGACATCAGTAGTTTTATTTAAAACTAGCTTTTGTCCCGCGACTTCGTCCGCGTGGAATTAAAAAAATCAAAACTAAGCATACTATGTGTTCTTCCAGACTATCCTCTACATCTATACCAAATTTCATTGAGATCCGTTTAGTCGTTTAGGCTACAAACTCTAACAAACATCCATCTAAACTTTCACATTTATAATATTATGATTTAGAGCCTGTCCTGACACTGGCTGATAGAGTCTCAGATAGCTTAAAATGACGTCACTGTCAGATAAGGTAACAAAATCCGATTATTATCAGATAATTTACAATTTCGTGGAATATACTTACCAATATTAACTCCGTACAGGAATCCTTTAATTTATCGACATATTCTGTAGCTTGTGGAGTGATGTTGAAGTCACCAGTCAACAGAGACACTTGGCTGGCCTCAGCTGGTTGAGAAGTGAGGTCAAACTCCACTGGACACGGATATAGATCTTGGAACTTCGATATCTCTAAGTTACCTGGAAGATAAACATAAATTTGTTATAAATTTGAGAAAACTATTTTATTACTTACATATGTAAAAGTTTCGGAAATGACAACGAATGTCAAAGGGATGGATGAAAGGAGACTACATGTGGCAGAAATGGATGTGTGGTAACACGTATGGATAAGATACGAAATGAGTATATTAGAGGAAGTGAGAGTAGCGCCAGTGGTAGAAGGTAAGGAGTAAAAGGTTAGCATGGGGGCATGTTATGAGGAGGGATGAATCGCATGTAACAAGGCGGACGTTAGTCATGAGTGTGGTACACCGGTAGAGGTAGACATAGAAAGAGATAGATTGTGTGAAAGGTGACAGGTTAAAAAGGGAGTGACTGAGATGACGTATATTTTTTTTATAATATCAGGTAGCAAACGAGCAAGCGGCTACCTGAATCCACCAAAAAGGAAAGCGACCGTTGCCTACACTTAATTGAGGGAGGAGACGCACATAAAGAGGACATTTCCACTTTCTATGCGTCTCCTCCACTGTCAAATCCACTTTTCCTTCCCATCTTTTCCTCTTAAGTAAAGGGTGGAAAGAAAAAGGGATTAAAATTAGACCTCCGATACCACACTCTTCAGACGAAACGTGGAATTACTTTCACTTCACGCCTGTCTGTGTGGTCGTGGTATTACTGGGGGCGAGCCCTGCAGTGCTAAGATGTTAAAGCGTACTCTACCACTGCTCTTCCATACATCTCTATCAGCCGTCATATCTGAATCCACTCCTTTGTTAAGCATATCCTCTTTCACACAATTCATCCATACTTTCTTCGGTCTTCTTGCTTTGTAGCCATCCACATTCAATCTTAACACTTTCAGGTTTATGTCCCCATCATTTCGTCGCATAACATGTCCATACCACGCTAACCTTTTGCTTCTCAATTTCTCCACCATTGGCGCTACTTTCAAACTTCCTCTAATGTACACATTCTTAACTTTATCCATTCTTGTCACACACATCCATCTTAACATACGCATCTCAGCCATCATTCAATCTTAACACTTGTAAGTATACTTACCAAATTCAATATATTCCAGTAGATATTTATTCTGTTTGACATTAGTCCGCTTGCAGACGGCGCGGTAGTGCAGGCCGTCTGTATACTTCGCTACCACTAACTGACCTTTACGTGGCGGTACAGATAATGGCTTAGCTGAAATGCATATGACGCCAAATTGTACCAAACTTTTTATAAGTATACTTCATTACTATAAAAACAGTCCTGCAAAGATTTTTTAAAATATAAAGTGATTTAGTGGCGAAATTTAATCATTAAAAAGTGTATTTTTTCAATTCCCTCGCTAAGTTCTAAAACGCACACTATTGGTCGAAGCAAGTGGCTTATCTAATATGGCGTCGCTGTGTTGACAATACACAGTTAATTTACGTTACTTTATATAGAAATACACTCTTGAAGTATTTTACTGTAAACACGATATCAAAACCAACTTTAAAATAAAAATAATAATAAATAGAATTATTAACCACTTATTTGTACCAGGAATAATAAAAATGAATCGATTTTTGACTTTTTGACCTTGAGGAAATCGTCGCGTTTTAGTCGCTCGGAAATGGTCGTAATTTTATTTTATTATTTTTAGCTCAATGGTTGAATATTTTCGCGTCAATTTTTTTTTTGTGGTTATTTTATAACAAGTAGAATCGTTTAAAAAAATACATGCATATTCCCTATTATAGCATATTTTTGAATAAAACTTTTTTTAACAAAAATCCCTACACTTACGTCCCACTTTAGGCTACATATTTTCACGCAATTAAATTTAGATGGTATTTATTTTGGATAAACACCCTAATGTGGGAAAGAGACCAAAAGTTGTTGCCAACATCAAGGAAGCAAGGTCATCATGTCATGTCATTTTGACATTTACTATTGATAATTTGACAAATGTAAAAAAATATAATTTCATGCGGATGAAGCCGCAGGGGAACAGCTAGTTTATTAACATGAATGAACCAACCAGTCTGTCCGTACAACACAACACCCTGTAGCACGGAGTCGTATCTGCGCTGCGCTGTGACGTCAGCGCTGCGGACGAACGCGCGGCTCAGCTGCGTCGCCTCCACCAGCAGCACGCGCGACTTGTCGCACACGACCGGTCGCAGCACCTCCGGTATCGCTGCAACTGGCAAACATTAAACTAGCTTCAGCCCGCGACTCCGTCCGCGAGGAATTAATAAAAACAAAAGTGTTCCTATGTGTTATATTTCATCGAAATCCCTTCAGCAGTTTAGGCAACAAACTAACAAACATCCATCTAAACTTTCACATCATACTAATATTATAAATTTGGAAGTTTGGATGGATGGATGGATAGATGGATGGATGCATGGATGTTTGTTAAGTTTGTAGCCTAAACGGCTGAACGGGTCTGGATGACATTTGGGATAGATGTAGAGGATAGTCTGGAAGAACACATAGGCTACTTTCTTTTGTTTTTTTTTAATACCACGCGAACGGAGTCGCAGGCGGAAGCTAGTTTATAATATTACTAGCTTCCGCCCGTGAATCCGTCAGCGTGGTATTAGAAAACATACGAACTATAAATAACAAAAAACTACGTATCCCGGGAAAAGGACATTTCTCGGGATGAAGCTTATCCCATGTGTACTCCACACTTTGTTTTATATCTGTGACAAATCTCAATAAGATATGTTGAACCGTTGCAGAATGATCGAGTAAACATTAAAAAACTAAATCAATGAATCCCACGGGAACCGTAACTTATACCGGGATAACAAGTAGCCTATGTGTTCTTCCAGACTATGCTCTAAACCTGTGCCAAATTTCATGGAGATCCGTTCAGCAGTTTAGGCTACAAACTCAAACATCCATCCATCGTAACTTTCGCATTTATAATATTTATATGATGTGTTACTTTTTTTAATTATTGTAAATTTACTTATATTCCTTTTAACCATTCCAAGTAAGCTGTAGGCTTGTGCTAGGACTGTTCACGACAATAGTCGTGGCGAGATTCGAACCCTCGACCGCAAGATCGGTACTCCGTACACCAAACCATTAGGCTCTTAGCGATAAGATATCAGTCAGTTTACAGTGGTAGAGCCCGCTTTAACATCTTCACAGTAGGGCTCTCAGCAATACCACGACCACACAGACAGACGGGAAGTGGAAGCAATTCCACGTACTGATGAGTGTGGTGGCAGAGGCCTAATTTAAGTCCCTCTCTTTCCACCCTTTTTTTAAGAGAGGATGTGAAGGAAAAGTGTATTTGACGGTGGAGACGCATAGGAAGGGGAAATGTCCTCTTTATATGCGTCTCCGTCAATTAAGGGTAGGCAGCGCTGCAATTGCGGATGTTTATGCAGCGGTCACTCCATTTCGGTGGATTCAAGCCGCTTGCTCGTTAAAACTCACCTCCAGCAGCGACAGGGTATTCAATCTCTGGAGACCATCTCTTTACCTCCCCTTCCCCGAGTCTGGCGCCGCTCGCGACGTTTTCCGCGACCACGACGCAGCCGTCTTTAAACTTGGCTTTCACTGTGCACTTCAGATTGTCGCCGATCTGAAAGATAGGAAAGAAACAATTTTATAACATACTGTATAAACGATTTTGAAGTTTCGTATTTTATAGAAAAATTTATTTTTAAAACCTATTACTAATTAGCTATTCCAATAAAGTCGTGTTAAGTGTAGGGCTTTTTATTAAAGAAATAATTATTCAAAAATGTCAAAATGACATGACATTACGAACCTTGGCAATCTTACTTTCTTGATGTTGGCAGCAACTTATGGTCTCTTTCCCACATTAGGGTTTTTATCCAAAATATTTCCCCCTAAGTTTTATAGCGTGAAAAATATAGACTAAAGCGTAACGCAAATGTAGGGCTTTTTATTAAAAAAAGAATTATTCAAAAACATGCTGTAATTGCTGACATCTTAGGCAACAAAGAAGTGTGTGTTAACGCTTTATTACAATAGTATCTAAGACGTGTTAATTAAAAAAAAATAATTTGGGCGAATAAAAAAATACTTACTTCAACCCCTTCGATATTAATATAACAGGAAAACTCCGGTATTTCCGCATACTTGAGGGGTAAGGATTTACATTGTGTAGTTATCTTAACTAGAGCACTGCTGTCTATGAGTGCGGCTAAATCGCCACTTAAACACCTCGCTCTGTACCAGGCGCCATCTTCATTCAAATATGAAAAAGCTTCTCCAGGACTGGGACTGAAAAAAAAAAGATGACTAGCTGTTACTCGTGATTTCGTCTGCGTGAAATCATACTTCTTACTAAAATTAGTTTGTAGCCTAAACTGAACGGATTTCGATACTTGTCATATATGTAGATACTAGAACACAGACTACTTTTGATTTTTAATTCCACGCGGACAGAATCATGAGTAAAAGTTAGTTAAAAACTCTGTTACTCGCAGATAAATTACCTTTCTAATGGCGAAAGAATTTTTAAAATCGGCCCAGTTTTACGTTAATCGAATACATACAAAAATACAAATCTATATATCAGTTTAGACTAGGTTTTGTTCGCGTTATTGTCCGTGTAAAATAAAACACAGTAGAACCTCGATGACTCAATCCTCGGTAACATAAAAACCTTTATAACTATTTCAGTGGTAGTGCCCGCTTTAACATCTTCGCACGAATGGGCCGGCTCGCCCGATGTAATACCACGACCACACAGAAAACAGGCGTGAAGTGGAAGCAATTCCGCGTTTCGTCTGATGAGTGTGGTGCCGGAGGCCTAACTTTAGTCCCTTTTCCTTTCCACCCTTTTCTTAAGGGGAAAGGATGGGAGGGAAAAGTGGATTTGACGGTGGAGGAGACGCATAGGAAGGGGAAATGTCCTCTTTATGTGCGTCTCCTCCTCCGTCAATTAGGGTAGGCAACGCATCTGCAACTTCGGATGTTTATGGGCAGCGGTCGCTTTCCATTTCGGTGGATTTAGGTGGCCGCTTGCTCGTTTGTCACCTCGTGTTATAAAAAAAAAAAAAAACTTCAAAAAAATTATATGTTCCCTTTCTATCAGAGCACAAAACCTCTACAACATAGACCCTTGATAACTTAACATCTATAACTTACAGTATTTTGTGTTTCCCTTGGACTTTAACTTATCGAGGTTCTACTGTATTATAAATGCGAAAGTTTAGATGGATGTTTGTTAGAGTTTGTAGCCTAAACTGCTGAACGGATTTCGATGAAATTAGGTATAGATGTAGAGGATTTTGGAAGAACACATAGACTACTCCGTTTTCTATTTTTTTTAATTCGACGCGGACGGAGTCGCGAGCAAAAGCTAGTATGATACAAATAAGATATTTAGAGCTAAAATTTAAATCAATTAATTAACATATTTTAAAAATTCATATTTGTATATACTTTTAAAATAATAAAATATAAGTAACTAGTTGTTTCCCGCAACTTTGTCCGCGTGGTATGTATTATTATTACTCACAGATAATTACTTTACTAATGGTGAATGAATTTTTGAAATATACCCAATAGTTTTAGAGTTATACATACAAAAATACAAATCTTTATAACATTAGTATAAACTAGCTGTTGCTCGCGACTTCGTCCGTTTGAAATTATAAAATGATAAAAATTATAGCCTATGTTACTCACTCATAACGTAGCTTTTTAATGGTCAAAGATTTTTTAAAATCGGCCCAATAGTTTTTGAGTTATTTCAATACATACAAAAGTACAAATCTATCCTCTTTATAATATTAGTATAGATATAAACAAACTTACGTATAATTCCCTTCTTTTTCACAATCAGTAAAATATTCCTCACACAGTCTCATATAATCCGTTTCATATTTGTCTTGCAATGCCACTCCGATGTACCCGGGCCCATTGACTCTGCATTCCGCTGCCACCTTGTCGATTGACACCACCACGATGTCACCAACAGACAGGGTTTCCACCACGCATCTGTCGAAATATTACTTATTAGTTTCTTGTCTTAATCTATACTATTATAATAAAGCGTAAACACACACTTCTTTGTTGCCTAAGATGTCAGCAATTACACCATATTTTTGAATAATTCTTTCTTTAATAAAAAGCCCTACACTTAAGTCACGCTTTAGGCTATATGTTTTCAAGCCATTAAACTTAGGGGGTAGATAAATTGGATAAAAACCCTAATGTGGGAAAGATAACATAAGTTGCTGCCAACATCAAGGAAGCAAGAGTGCTGAGGTTTGTCATGTCATGTCATTTTGACATTTGCTATTGATAATTTAACAAATGTAAACAATAAAATAGTTTTCATAATTTCATGCGGATAAAGCCGCACGGGAACAGCTAGTACATTATATTAGCATAATAAACTATATCTTATAACTATGTACCGATCTGTATTTTGAATTAACGTAGTTTTCATTTTTATTTCTTTATTAAATCTCAATTAATACTTTATTATTGACTTCCGCTTCCGTTAACCTCCGCTTTTGCTGAGGTGAAGCCCTTCGCCTCCGCATCCGCTTCCGTTAAAATGCCCTACGTTACAACCCTAGTTTATACGTTGCTAATTATTTTACTTACGTTTTAGGAACAATCTTCTTTATCGGTGTCACATCTTCTACTGACAACGGCTTCACTGTCTTCTTCTCTTCTGTGGCTATTTCTAGAATCTGCTTTACCGGTTTTATTGGCATTTTTCCAATATTGCTAGGCGCTTGATTTTCTGTAAAAATACATATTTATCTATACTATTATAATAAAGCGTAAACACACACTTCTTTGTTGCCTAAGATGTCAGCAATTACAGCATATTTTTAAATTTTTATTTTTTTTATAAAAAGCTCTACACTTACATCACGCTTTAGGCTATATATTTTCACGCCAATAAACTTAGGGTGTAAATATTTTGGATAAAAACCCTAATGTGGGAAAGAGACCATAAGTTGCTGCCAACATCAAGAAATAAAGATTGCCATCGTCATGTCACTTTGATATTTGCTATTGACAATTTGACAAACGTAAACAAAAACATTAAAGCTTACTAATATTATAAATGCGAAAGTTTAGATAGATGGATGGATGGATGTTTGTTAGCGTTTGTAGCCTAAACTGCTGAACGGATCTCCATGAAATTTGGCACAGGTTTAGAACATAGGCTGGAAGAACACATAGGCTACTTTTTATCCCGGGAATAGTTACGGTTCCCCTGGGATTAATTTAGTTTTTTAATGTTCACTCGATCATTCTGTAACGGTTCAACATATCTTATTGAAATTTGTCACACAAAGTGTGGAGTACACATGGGATAAGGTTCATCTCCGAGAATTGTCAAGTTCCCGGGATATGTAGCTTTTTGTTATTTATAGTTCGTATGTTTTATCCACGCGACGAAGTCGCGGGCAACAGCTAGTATTGAATAAATTATTTCTTACTTGTTTTAGAATTCCAATCCTCTTCATCGGTATTTTTAATCTGTGGTCTTCGTAATTGAGGTATATTTGGTCTGTTCTCATTATCTTGAGGTTTCGTATTCTGTTTGTTCTTCTCTTGATTTCTATATGAAGATCCTTGTGGTCTATTCATTCTATTATTCGATCTATCTTGATTTCTATTGGTCTGTCCGTTTTGGTAATTAGAGTTCGTATTATGGTAAGCTCTCTGAAATAAATAAAAAATATTAACATTCGCCAGTGCATCTATGTATACTATTATCATTGACATTTGCTATTAATAATTTGAAAAAATGTAAACAATAAAATATAATTATCATAATTACATGCGGATGAAGCCGCACGGGAACAGCTAGTACCCAATAAAAAATAAATAGTCTGTGTTTTGGACTATCCCCTGCATCTATACTAAATTTTATCGAAATCCGTTCAACAGCTTAGGCTTTTTTTATAATAAAAGGTGGCAAAAGAGGAGGCGGTCACCTAAATTCGCCAGAATGGCGAAGCGACTGCTGCACATAGACGGAGGAGGAGACGCACATAAAGAGGACATATCCCCTTTCTATGCGTCTCCTCCATCGTCAAATACACTTCCCCTTCCCATCCTTTCCTGATAATAAAAGGGTGGTAAAGAGAAAGGGACTTAAAGTAGGCCTCCGGCACCACACTCATCAGACTGTACGCGGAATTGCTTCCACTTCCCGCCTGTCTGTGTGGTCGTGGCTGAGAGCCCTACTGTGCGAAGATGTTAAAGCGGGCTCTACCACTGTTACAAACTAACATCCATCCATCTATAATATTAGTAAGATAGATAATTACCGCTTGTCCACTATATTCGTTATCTTCATTATTTTGGAATCTCCTAACATTCTTCATCGGAGAATGAGGTCGACGTAATGGTGCGACAGATTGCAATCTAAAAAAAAATACATTACTTTTCTAGCTACCATAAAACTAGATAAAACCAGCTTTCCCGTGACTTCGTTAGCGTGGAATTAAAAAAATAAGTAGCCAATGTGTTCTTCCAGACTATCCTCTACATCTATACCAAATTTCATCGAAATCTACAAACTCTAACAAACATCCATCTAAACTTTCATATTTATATTTATAAGATAAGAAATTTAATTTTGGAAATAAACCAGATATCGCAAAGATGTATTTGAGTTGATAACAAAAATTGCATTTAAATTTGTTTTTGTCTGTCTGTCCGCAAGCCGCGTTTATTCTTGATAATCTACGAAACAGCTGAGCCGTTTTCGACGGGACTTTCACTGGAAGGTAGTTAACAAGGACATGTTATAGGTTATTTTTTTAATTTCCCTGCAGTCAAAATATAATAAATTTTCTTTACTTACGTTGGTATATTACTGGAACTGGATTGCATCGCATAAGGTGCATTTCCATCAGCTAACCTAAAAAAAATTACATACATAAAGTACAATCGCGGAATTCCGCGGTGTCCAACTTTAGAAAAGAACAGTGGTAGAGACCGCTTTAACATCTTCGCACGAATGGACCGGCTCGCCCGGTGTACCACGACCACACAGAAAACAGGCGTGAAGTGGATGCAATTCCGCGTACAGTCTGATGAGTGTGGTGCCGGAGGCTTAATTTTAGTCCCTTTCCCTTTCCACCCTTTTCTTAAGAGGAAAGAATGGGAAGGAAAAGTGGAATTGACGTTGGAGGAGACGCATAGGAAGGGGAAATATTCTCTTTATGTGCGTCTCCTCCTCCGTCAATGAAGGGTAGGCAACGCATCTGCAATTGCGGATGTTTATGGGCAGCGGTCGCTTTCCATTTCGGTTGATTCAGGTGGTCGTTTGCCACCTTATGTTATAAAAAAAATGATAATTATATATGAGTTAGTAAAGAATATGATAATAATAAAAAACTAATCGTGTATCATTAACCGACTTTATTTTCATTTTTTTATTATAAGGCGGCAAAGGAGTAATCGGCCATTTGTATCCGAAATGGCGAAGCGACTGCCTATAGACATTGGCAATAGCGGTGCGTTGCCTACCCTTAATCGACGGAGACGCACATAAAAAGGAAATTTCCCCTTCGTGCGCGTCTCCACCGTCAAATCCACTTTTCCTTCCCATCCTTTACTCTTAAGGAAAGGCTGGGAAGCAAAAGGGACTAAAATTGGGAGTAAACACCATACTCTTCAGTGTATGCGGAATTACTCCCACTTCACGCCCGCCTGTGTGGTTGTGATATTGCGTAGAGCCTTACAGTGCGAAAATGTTAAAGCGGGCTCTACCACTGTCAATTTATTCGCAACACGCTACTTGTTTCAGGCACTTACCATGTATTCCCAACCGTCACCCCGCTCTGTCCCACATGGGGACAAGTGGGAATACAATTTTCATCCGACCCACCGTTTGCGATAATGGGATGGTTGAAAATTATTTTATTTCATAAAAGGTGGGACAGATGAATCTGTTTATTCTCACGTGGGGACAGTGCGGGGTGACGGTTGGGAATAATTACTTACCATTATGTTAGTGTGTCACTGTATTACCTTGCGAGATTATGGCAGACAGAATGATGCCTAGCTCTCCAGTCCCGCTGCTGGCATGCTACACTACAGTAGGGCGTGACAGCGCATCTCGAGCAGTAAGCGTCCGCTGGCTTGCCACACGACACGCAGGCACGTGACGGGTCTCGCTGCAGCGCGGGAAGTTTTTGCTGCATTGGATTGTCGACCTTATGTATATTGTTTTAAAGGTGTTAACTCTGTATTTTATACAGTTAACACCTAAATTAGTAGACTTTTAAACTAAGCATCTAAAATAGTCTACTACTAAATCGATTTCTACATTTTATGACTATACTAGCTTTCGTCCGCGACTACTAAGTGAGTAGCCTATGTTCTGCTAGACTGGACTAATAGATTTAGAGGAAATCTATTTCATCGTAATTTCATCGAAATCCGTTCAGCGGTTTAGGCTACAAACTCGTAACAAACATCCCTCCATCTAAACTTTCGCATTTATAATATTACGAGCTGTTGCCCGCGACTTCGTCCGCGTGGTATTATAAAACATACTAACTATCTAAATTACAAAAAGCGACGTATCCTGGGAACCGGACATTTCTCTGAGATGAAGCTTATCCCATGTGTACCCAGACTTTGTTTTATATCTGTGCCAAATTTCAATAAGATATGTTGAACCGTTGCAGAATGATCGAGTGAACATTAAAAAACTAAATTAATGAATCCCAGGGGAACCGTAACTATTCTCGGGATAAAAAGTAGCCTATGTGTTCTTCCAGACTATGCTCTAAACCTGTACCAAATTTCATTGAGATCCGTTCAGCAGTTTAGGCTACAAACTCTAACAAACATCCATCTAAACTTTCGCATTTATAATATTAAGTAACTATGATAGCTGTTTCCATGCCTATAATTTGTCTAAATAAGGGTGATTAGTTTGACAATTTAGTAGGGATGGCTTACGTATAATCAGATATGAATCTTTTCGATATTTGATTTTACTCTTTTAGAAGTTGGAATCGGTAGATTCATAGTTATAACTTATGGATTGAAATAAACATTGTTTTTTCTCAAATAAATAATGACATTTTATAGATGAGCAGTTTTTTACAATTTACTAACCCCTTAAATTAAATAGCGTGAAAATGCCTAAAGCATAGTTTTATTTTATTTGCAAATGTCAAAGTGACATAATGACAAACCATGGCAACCTTGCTTCCTTGATGTTGGCAACAACTTATGGTCTCTCCCACATGAAGGTTTTTCCAATTTATTTATTCCCTAAGGTTAATAGCGTGAAAATATATAGCCTAAAGCATGTCGTAAGCCTAGGTCTTTTTATTAAATAAAGAGTAATTCGAAAATATGGTGTAATTGCTGACATCTTAGGCAACAAAGTGTGTGTTTACGCTTTATTATAATAGTATAGATAGATATATATGTTAATTGGCTACCTCTAAGTTGAACCTATAATAATACTTTAAGGGGCAAAGATTTATACTTTTGTATATATTGAAATAACTCAAAAACTACTGGGCTGATTTTAAAAATTCTATCAGTTAGAAAGCTAAGTTATCAGTGAGTAATATATATGTAACAGGCTTACGAATATTTATTACTAACTGTTTTAAATAAAAATAGTAAAAATAGCCTATGTTACTGATAACGTAGCTTTCGAATGGTAAAACAATTTTTAAATTGCACAGTAGTTTTTGAGTTATTTCAATACAAAGTCTAAAAATTCAAATCTTGCCTCTTTATAATATCAGCATAGAATAAAAAAAGTTGCCAGTATTTTCTCTACTAAACTAAATTAAAAAAAAAAAACAAAATTATAATCATTAACTTTATTGAAAAGTCCATGCATACAATCGAATTATAAAAAAGACATTAAAAGTCAAATTACTAATTAAATCAAAAGAAACTAATATTAAAATTAAAAAAACAACTAAATACGCCAACACAATCACAAAACACACTTATATTAAAACTTATGTAAAAACCTACAACATATGGCAACATTGTGATGACCATAGATTAAAAAAGTGCATTTCAAATGTATTACGAAAATTTACCCTGAGGGTTATAAATCGCATTGGGCTACAATCAATTTTATTTTAAAATCAGCCTGTTTGTTACCTACTGATAATCTTCAAGTTAGAAAAAAAAAAACCTCGATAAGTTAAAGTCCAAAGGAAACACAAAATATTTTAAGTTATAGAGGTTAAGTTATCAAGGGTCTATGTTGTAGAGGTTTTGGGCTCTGATGGGAAGGGAACATATTATTTTATGAAGTTATAGAGGTTCTACTGTATATAAAAATATTTGTACAATTTACCCTTTAGTAAAAACACAGTAAAAAGTACACTTATATATTTTGTAATTAAATTTAAAAAATCAGGCTTTAAGGGCTTTACCATAGATATTTAACCTATAATAGAGACCAAACTGAGAGTTTTTAAGAGTCAATTTTTCAAAACATTTTATATTTTAAATGGAGATTCTAAAAGAATTTACACCAACAGACCTTCAGAGGCTTTTTTAGTTAATTTTGATGTTTTTTTTCTATACATTATAAGATGGCAAACGAACAAGCGGCCACTTGAAATCGCCGAAATGTCGAAGCAACTGCCCATAGACATCTACAATTGCAGATGCGTTGCCTACCCTATGACGGAGGAGACGCACATAAAAAGGACATTTCCTCTTCCTATGCCTCTCCAACGTCAAATCCACTCTTCCATTCCATCCTTTCCTCTCAAGAAAAGAGTGGAAAGGAAAAGGGATTAAAATTGGGCCTTACTATATCTAAGTTAAAAACATTTACATTCTATGTCTTTTAATTGGGTCCCAAAAATTTCTTAAAATAGTTAATTATGGCTAGATTTAGATGTAATTTTAAAAATATCACAATAAATTGGCGGGAAAATTTCAGATATAGACTAACTTACAAACTATCTTGTTTAGCCATTTAAGCAGTCCCTTAGGTAATTTCTCTTACTAATCCTACACTAAGGAGCTCCTTTAGTGACTTCAGGGCGTGGCAGTAATCATTAGAAGTATACCACACGTATGACAATAAATTGTGTGCAAACGTAAGCTATAAATTAAATTTAGAGCCCGTCCCACAATCCAACGAGTAAAATATCGGATTTTGTTTCCTTATGACAGTGACGTCATAAGCTATCTGAGCCTCTATCAGGCAGTGGTGGGACAGGCCCTTACTATTCTATAATTATGAATATATTTCGAAACTACCCTCATTTCTAAATAGTTTAGACACTAATGCTAGTGGTGGTCCAGGGGTGTTAAACCTTAGTGTCGTGTTACTTAAGATGTTAAACGCAGTAATAGACGTGACAATTATTAGTTTTGTTGGAGTCCTTGCGTTTACGATACGCTGTCCCTTTCGCACAGTGCTCTCTCGCGTCACGTACGCACCCGTTTTTTAATCGCTTACAGCTCGCCGCATAATTTTCCGTAAGATCTATTTGCGACGCTAATAATACTTCATTTTTTTATAGTGCAGTCTAATTTGATGATTAACTATTTACCTCTGCCCAAAATTAAAAAAATACTAAATAACCTATGTGTTTTATATCTATCATCTATATCTATATCAAATTTCATTCAGATCTATTCCGGACATAGATAGTAAACATCCATACATCCAAACATTCGCATTTATACTGGTAATGTTCACAAAATATTGTATCACGTGCCATCGATTCTTTACCCCTGCATTACAACGCATATTTTTAAAAACATTATAGTTTGTCTAAAATAGATTTTTTTTAGACAAATTGTATGAAGGTATCAGGCGTGTAAACAGTATCACTATCTGCCAGTTAAAATAACAAATGAAAATTATTCTACCTTTTGAGTAATGTCCTGTCTATACGTTAAATATCTGTCTTTTTATTCGTTGTCACAAAGACATAAGGAATTTTAAAATAGAAATTTTTAGAATACAAATTTTAATGTTTCGCCTCCTAAAGTAGGATCAAAAGATTGGCCTTTGATCACAGATGCTGACTGTTTGTCGACCAATAAAGTAAATTTACCTTTACCCGGATAATTCGTATCGTAATTTATCTGCCACAATTCCGTATTCAACCCGGGATTTTTATCTTCAAGTAAATCTAATATTATATTAAAATCCTCTTTATGGTCTGGTAATATTTTCGACGGCACTTTCAATGTTAGCTTGCAAAAACTTTCATTCTTATCCAGCGAATACGAATCTGTATCGATTTTTGATAATTTCCCTTCAATTTTATTAACTTTTTCTATATTTTCTATTGTTATTTTCTTTGCATCTTTATTTGATGTCTCTTTATGTTTCTTTTCGATATATTCCAGACTTGTTTTAGGTCTAATCAACGATTGTAAATGTCCTAATTTGAACAACACAGGACTTGTTCCTACAAATTTATTAAAACTCGCGTCAGAAATCACTTGCGCTGATAACTTATCAATCTGCAGTACAACGTCCAATTTATTTTTAGATCGAACGATGCTTATTTTCCTCCAAAACTTCGTACGCAATCTCGGATTCTGTTCTTGTAATATAGATATCACTTCGTCAGTATCTTTATCTGTTTTAACAACCATCATACTGACAATACCTACAGCACCACGAAATTCCGTAGATTTCAAATTCATATTCAATTTTCCATTCACTTCATTAATATTATCTTCAATCCATTGTTTACTTTTAAAATCTTTACATATAATAAAAATAACACCGTCAAATAAATAAATATCATGTATTTTAGGGATGAACGCATTTACTTCCTCTTTAACAGAATCTAGTACTAAAAGATTCATTGCATTTTTTATAGTAAAGAATAATGATTCATCTATTCGTGTTTCTGGATAATTCCAAGGACCTACGTATAATTTCAAATCATCAGCAATAATATCAGAATAATGATTTGTCCTTATTCTTGTTAACGTAGAGTTCAAAATATCTGTATCTATAGGACAGTACATTTCTTTGGAAATCTTCTCCCAATTACCTTCAGTTTTTAAACTATCAGCGGCATTAGATTTTGTCTCCATCTCATTCACACTAACATCCTTTCTCTTTCTATCTATAATTCTAAAGGAAATCAATTCATTTTCATATGTAAAATTGAATTCTGGCGATTTTATTATATCAATCGATTCTGGATCGACACCGAATTGTCTTTTCTGTTTACCAGCGACATCAGAATAATACTTCCAACAGTCTGGTTTCAAACCGGAATATTTTTCAACCAATTTGGATATGATATCTTTGGATTCTAAATGTGCTAACTCTTTCGGTAAACGCATCACAACTCTCGTATACCGTACTAGGTCATTCACATCCTTAAATATCAATTTGAGACTGGTAGAATTAATAAATTTGGGTAAAATCTCTATTAGATAATCTTTAGTTTCCAAACTATCACAAATGTATATCACAGCGCCATTCGATAGAAAAACATCTTGAAATTTCGGTATAATTAAATTTGTAAATCGTTTATTTTTAACATCTTTGTTTAGATATTCTTTGAAGAGTCGTTTCAATCTTCTTATATGTGTACCTTCTAATTTATTTTGAGGATAACCTTCTAACGCGATTGCTACTTTCAATTCTGCATCTACATGTAAATAATTTGTCCGTCTGTGATATGCTATACCTCTATTACTGTCTATAGTTATTGTACTATTCCTGTCTATTAAATTTTCATTACTAGCTGATATTGAATCACCTTTATCTGTAAAATCAGCTAAAGAATCTATCTCATCATTATCATGAACATTAATAATTTGAGTTTTCTCAACTTCTGAATTACTAACAGTATCGTTTGTATTAACAGACAGAACGATAGTTTCATTTTTATCGTTAATATATTCAACGTCTTTCAATTTCTTTAATATATCCTTTTGTACTGAATTAACTAAATCTTTTTTTATATCAGTCACTTCATTAGTTACTTTCCATTCATCTCCTACTTTTAGTGATGAATCGTTTCCAGTCATCACTTCATCAGATTTCAACTCCTCTAACAATTTCACTCTAGACGCCACACTACTCAAATCATCTCTCAAATCGTTCATAAAATTTTCATAATAAATCTCTGTGTACCCTGTTAATTCAAATTCCATATTACTATAATCAATTACATTTTTAAAAGTAGGACCTCTGATAATTTCACCAGACACCCTGTCTATTAAAAAAGAAGTACATTCCACATTTTCAACAATCTTTTGGGCATATATCTTCCACATATCTGTCTTTAATGTCGGATTGAAATACTGCAATAACTTAAATACATCTAAAGCTGTCGCCGGCCACGAAGATTGTGGTATTTTCAGTAAACCGAGACAGATTCTTTTAATTTTAGATCCTAAAAGTATCAATTTTTCATTCATTCGTTCTTCAAGACCGATTGTAATCCTAACAATCCAATCTCTAGTATCCGGATCACGACAAACACAAACAATAGCACCTCTATTCAAATAATAATCATGAAAACTTGGCACTTTTTTTAGCAAACCCGCTTTTAATTGCATATCAATAATCCCTGTTAGTGCCGTTTGAAATTTCTCCATTTCCTTCAATCGCATTTTAGATTTTGGATAACCGTTTAAAACTAAAACTACCTTCAGTTTCTCATCAACAACATCTAAATAATCTAAATTACGTAATTGTATTATTCTATTTGTTTCATCATGTTCATCATTGTCGCTTGTAAAATCGCTAAATTTGAATTCATACAAAGTCCCACTATCGCTATCTTTTTCATTCGTATAACCAGTTTTACTAGAATCTTTCATATCTCTTACATCTATCGTTTTAAATTGCAAAGATTCCGTTAATTTAGAATTATCCGTTTTACTTGTTACAGATTTATCCTGATCCTCGAAGTGGACGCAAGTTGACGCCGAGGATCTGTCTTCGGAGCTCGTCCTCACCCAAGATTGTACACGGCAACGTTTCGAATTCTGCAGACAAACGTATCGGGTATCTGTATTGACTGTTGTCAAATACTACCACTATATCTACTAACGAGATATCTACATTGCCTTTTTTTCTTTTTTTTTTTCTAATAAAAGATTGGTTTTCTGTATGTATTGAAATTAGTCAAAAACTTCTGGGCCGATTTAACTCTTTGACTGTTAGAAAAGTAATTTATCTATGTGCTAATTATTTTTTTAATTTCACGCGGACAAAGTCGCTAGCAACAGGTAAATACATAACACATCTAAAGTTGTTCAGATTGAATTCGAGAAAATAGCGAAACGAACGCTGTCTGTCTGTAATTTCACATACATTGTCTAATTTTAAGAGTTTTTTTAATTACAATTTAACATATGTTTATTTTTTGTATGTATTGAAATAACTTAAAAACTGGGCCTTCAACAAATTATTGAGCATTTAAAAACTACGGCATTAGTAACATAGGTTAAAAAATAAAAGTTCCCACCGTCCCCTCGTCGCAAAAGATGGGACGGATGAAACTTATTATTGTCATCTGTCCCCACGGGCGGCGGGTGCGGGGTGACGGTTGCGAATAATCATGTTGCACCCTACGGGAGTAGGATAAGTAAGAGAGATATCTATACTATTATAATAAAGCGTAAACACACACTTCTTTGTTGCCTAAGATGTCAGCAATTACACCATATTTTTAAATAATTACTTTTGTAATGAAAAGCCTTACACTAACGTCATGCTTTAGGCTATATATTTTCACGCGGTTAAACTTAGGAGTAAATATTTTGGATAAAAACCCTAATGTAGGAAAGAGACCATAATTTGTTGCTAACATCAAGGAAGCAAGGTTGACATCATTTCATTTTGACATTTGCTAATGATAATTTGTCAAATGTAAATAATAAAATAAAATATTCATAATTTCATGTGGATGAAGTCGCACGGGAACAGCTAGTCACAGATAAAATAATTTTTCCGACGTGTTTTAGCAAAAAAAGATAATATAAATAATTTTGTTTAAAAAACGATTATTTATGTTTTTTCCTAATCAATAACTATACATAATAATAAAATTGGAGTGTCTGTTTGTAATATCAAAAGAAAAATTCCAGATTTCGGGAAGATGATGTATTTGCGTTGTTGATAACGAAAAAGGCATTAAAAAAAATTTTGTCTGTCTGTGTGTCTGCAAGCCGCGTTTGTTCCGGGTAATCTCCGAAACGTCTGGGCCGATTTCGACCAAACTTTCACTGGAGGGTAGCTGACATAGACCCGCATGTTATAGGCTACATTTTTTTTAATCCCGCGCTATCAAAATGACGACCGAACCGCTATCACTGAAACGGGTGGACTGATTGGAACGCGGGAATTTGATAGATGACTTTTTTTAATCCGCGCTAACGAAGTATACGAGCCACAGCTCGTACCAAATATAAACAGTCATAAAACCAAAAAGTTTATATAATTCCAGACTTACAAATCACAAGTTGCCTTTATCCCTTATAGAGGGTAAGCACAGTATGTGCTCTTCCATACATCTCTATCAGCCATATCTGAATCCACTCCTTCCTCAAGCATATCCTCTTTCACACAATCCATACTTTTTTCAGTCTTCCTCTTCCTTTGTAGCCATCATTCAATCTTAACACTTTCTGATTGAAAAATATTAGTACAAATTTTGCTTGACTGAGTATCAGTTTATTTTAGTTTTATACCGCGTTTATTTGTAAGGGTGTAGATTTTACAAACTCCTATAAGAGTTAAAAATACAATTTTTCGTAACATAATAGACAACTACTGCCCATATCTCTGTTAATACTATATGTCGATTATAAACGCATTTAAATAAACAAACTTGGATGAAATACGGCGGAATTTAGATTATTTGTGTTTTTTTTTAGTTATTTCATAAAATTCTATACTATTGTAGTACTATTGCCTAAGATGTCAGCAATTACAGCATATTGTCGAATAATTCTTTCTTTAATAATAAGCCCTACACTTACGTCACGCTTTAGGCTATATATTTTCACGCCATTAAACTTAGCGGTAAACATTTTGGATAAAATCCTAATGTGGGAAAGAGACCATAAGTTGCTGCCAACATCAAGAAGCAAGATTGCTAAGGTTTATCATGTTATGTCATTTTGACATTTGCAATTGAATTTGACAAATGTAATTAATAAAATAATCTTAATAATTTCATGCGAATGAAGTCGCATGGGAACAGCTAGTTGGAAAATAAATGTTTACGAAATTTAAGACTGAATTCTCATATAATAGTCATTATACTGTCATATATGAATACATTGTGCTAGTAACTATCAAGCCAGCTTGTTCCACTGGCATGTGTATTTCAGATTTAATTAAACAGATTAAAAACTACTATACGTGATTAGTTTTAGTGAAAAAAACATTGCCTAAAATCTATACCAACATTATAAAGATAAAAAAATTTTGAATTTATGCATATTTTAGATTTACGTAAAAACTATTGGGCTGTTTTTAAAAATTCTTTCACCACTAAAGGTAATATCTGTTAATAACATAGGCTATAATTATTATAATTTTTGTTTAATTATTGTAATTTTCACGCGGACGAAGTCGCGAGCTACAGCTAGTGTTCATATCAGATTTACTATGGCATATATTTTTTAATATCAAGGGGATTATAACAAAATGTTACTACTAAATACAGAGATAATAAAATCAACTCACCGCATCTCCACTTCCGACACCAAAACTCTCCGAATCTCCGGTCACTTCGCTGGGTCTGTGAAATTAAAAGAAAATCATAATAAAAAAAAACTATCTATTCCCGTGCGGCTTCATCCGCATGAAATTATAAGGATTTTTATTGTTTTTTTTTTTTATATTTCTAAAATTCCACGTGTACGATGTCACGTGCAACAGCTAGTCTTACTTCTTACTAATATTATAAATGCGAAAGTTACGATGGATGTTTGTTAGAGTTTGTAGCCTAAACTGCTGAACGGATCTCCATGAAATTTGGCACAGGTTTAGTGCATACTCTGGAAGAACACATAGACTACTTTTTATCCCGGGAATAGTTACGGTTCCCGTGGGATTCATTAATTTAGTTTTTTAATGTTTACTCGATCATTCTGCAACGGTTCAACATATCTTATTGAAATTTGTCACAGATATAAAACAAAGTGTGGAGTACACATGGGATAAGCTTCATCCCCGAGAAATGTCCGGTTCCCGGGATATGTAGCTTTTTGTTATTTATATAGTTCGTATGTTTTCTAATAGCACGCGAACGATGTCACGAGCAACAACCAGTTAGTTCATCACCATCATCACCAGCTCACTATACGTCCCCACCGAGGGGCTCGGAGCCTACCCTAATACGGGATGACTAGGCCATAGTCAACCACGCTGTACTGCGGGTTGGTTGACTTCACACATATCTTTGAATTTCTTCGTCGATATGTGCATCACGATGTTTTCCTTCACCGTAAGAACGTCGGGTAAATTATACGTTCATATGAAAAATCGAAAATCACATTGGTACAGCGGGATTCGAACTCAATACCTGTAGATTACAAGTCAAGTGCTTAAACCACTGAGCCACCGACACTCTACCAGTTAGTTAAAATGAAACAAGAATAACTTACCTACGATAATTTCCATAGCGAAATCTTTAGAAAAAAAAACAATTCTCTTACTTAAAAGGTTTCAACATTTATATATTAATATATATTAATAGTTTTTCATAGTATCCACTCAACATCTCTGAGTATAAGCAAGAAATAAAAAGTTTGATAAAAGCTACTAACCTGTCATTATTATTTCTTACTACGATCCTTCCATCGGCTAAAACACTCCTATTTTTAGAACTCACAGGTACCTGAAATTAACAAATAGTAAAAATTTATTTAAACATACATTTACTGTAAGAATAAGATATTAGTATCAAGATTTATTCATCTATACTTGTATCGTCACCGCATTCCACATTTTATTATGTCAACCGACCTTCTTCGACCCTTTGTCATAATCCATCCTCCTTCGCTCTTTCTTCATCTTTTGGAACTTTACAGCGACTTACTTCTTACTTTACAGCGTTGACACATACGCATGCGGGACTTAGGGAGAAGTAAGTGTAAGTTAAGCAGTGAACGAACTAACAGTGCAGCAAGACCACCTAATACGCGCAGCGCAGAACAAACAGGTAAGCCCCGCAAGTATTCGCTTCGGGGAACTTTTCCGAACCTTACCGTCCTTTAGACCCGTACTCGGTATCAGACCTAATTTCAATACTATCCAAAGACGTGGCTATTCGCAAACACAATACTATTATAGTAATGCGTAAACACACACTTCTATGTTGCCTAAGATGTCAGCAATTACAATTTATTTTGAATAATTCATTTTTTAATACAAAACCCTACACTTACGCTTTAGGCTATATATTTTGATGCCATTAAACATAGAGAGTAAATGTTTTGGATAAAAACCCTAATGTGGGAAAGAGACCATAAGTTGCTGCCAACATCAAGGAAGCAAGGTTGCCATGCTTTGTCATGTCGTGTCATTTTGACATTTGCTATTAGTAATTTGACAAATTTAAACAATAAAATAAAATTATCATAATTACTTTCGGATGCAGCTGCACGGGAACAGCTATTGATATTATTTTTAATGGTTTTTATGTTTTTTTTTTCTAAAAATGAAAACTTTAAATGACTTGTGCCGATGTATCTGGCATGCAGAAACATCGACGGCGCATGTCAGTGAAGAGGAGGAAAAGAAATGTCATTATGATAGTAGACTAGATCGAAGACGAATATATGTAAATAAAGAATTATTACCATACGAAACTTTAGACTCTTCTAAACATTTAACCTAATGGCGCTAAAACAAATGTCCTATCACCCAACAATATATTTAAAAAAAAATAGATATAGAGGAACACTCACCGACTTCTTTCCAGCTCGGTTAAGTATCATCATTCGTTTACACTCCAACTTCTCTTCTTGCAGTTTAATCCGCTCCATCTTGAGCTGCACCAGCTCCAGGTGGAGGTCAGGGTCCGAGCTGTTCACCAGACCCTGTAATAGTTTAGATATCACTTAAGCAAAGACTTGTGTGTAATAATTAAAATCTTCCTTCTTATCCTACTCTCCTAGGGGCAAAAAAGGTTTTTTCCTCCACATAACTCTATCATCTGCCATTACAGTCACTGTCTTCTTGATGTTTCACACAACACATCTCTTTCTGTCTACTTGTACTGTATTTTTGATTGATGCTTATTATTGTGTATTTGTATATATTTTGTTGTTGTTTGTAAAACTTTCGTTTCCTCCGTCATTATTTTTGTCAACTGTGTAATTAAGTGTATAATGTTTGCCTACTGAATGGATTAAATGACTTTATTATTATTATTACTAAGCACACTTATAAAACATTCTCCTTGTCACATGTGATTTAACACATGGCCATTCCAAACTAACCGTTTACTCCTTACCTTCTCTACCATTGGTTTTACTTTCAAACTTCCTCTAATACTTACACTGTTTTTAAATATCTGTACAAAAATGTCAGTCATCAGTACATAGATAATTGATTTTTTTGGGATCCCATTTACACATCTCTCTATTACCTAATTATTTATCTATACTATTGTAATAAAGGGTAAACACACACTTCTTTGTTGCCTAAGATGTCAGTTATTACAGCATAATTTTGAATAATTCTCTCTTTAATAAGACGCCCTACACTTACGTCACGCTTTAGGCTATATATTTTCACGCCGATAAACTTAGGAGTAAATATTTTGGATAAAAACCCTAATGTGGGAAAGAGACCATAAGTTGCCATCATCAAGGAAGCAAGGTTGCCATGGTTTGACATGTCATGTCATTTTCAAATTTGCAATTGATGGTAAATGTGAACAATAGAATGATGTTTTAATAATTTTATGTGGATAAAGTTGCATAGTAACAGCTAGTTTAGTTATAAAACAAAACGAAAATTGTCTCATTACAAGCATATTTCTCAAAGTGGAACACTGCAAATTTCCCTAACTGTACATAAAAACTCACCAGTTCATCTTCTCCAATCAAATCGTCCATATCACCCTCACTGTTGATAGATGGTTGAGTGTCGTCCATTCTACTGGAAATTAAATAGAATAATCTTTTTAAAATGAAACCACACTATGCAGCGGGCTGATAACCTGTCCACAGAAAAGTCTCTGTTACGAAATCGACACTAGAGAAAAAGAGGCCAAGAAAACCCACTTTGGGTCGCTGCGCCAACGCACTAAGTAATTTCAAACTTCTTAATATCGAATTTCTTGCCCACGTGAATCAAAAATCGACATTCATATTCAAAACGTTAATAAAAAACGAAAATTATGTTTACATTTGTTACAAAAAAAGCATTATAATAGTAATATAAACATAATATCAAATATCCAAATACCTTTTATGAGTAAAATCTTGCAAAAACCTACGCAAAATATAATTATTTTCAAATACCGCTTTTGTAAACATTTCACTACTTTATTCGTAAATGTTTTCGTATATCGAAACACTAAATAAAACACTATTGCATCTTTTTAAAGCGAATTTCAAACTCGTGATGCATAAAACGATCTAATTTACAAAATGAACAATATTTTGATACCCGTAACTTACGTTTTTTTCATTAAACACGCTATATGTATCTAAAAACATCACCATTTAAACAACACTCATGTTTTTTTTAGTAAATAACGAATAAAAAACTATTATATCAACATTAAATAATAATTCTGTTACAAATTCAATAAGTAACGTATTTTCGAAACGAGTAACAATTTAAACAATGACATTGACAGAACAAAGAGTAAGTGTGACTTCAGAAAGTTTTGCGCGCTTTTCCAGATCAAAGATGAACATCGTGAATTTTATATTTAAGTTTTAAATTGCTACTTTGGGCGTCTTTATATTATTGTGTAAATAAAAGAAATATCCTTTAAATAACATTAATTTACATAATTATAAAAAAAACATTTGCTATTAGTTTTAATCCTAACAAAAATTTAAACAATTCTTTATAGCTTTATTGTAACTGTAAAACAGTGCTTACAGAAATGATTGGAATTTAGACCAAACTCTGGTCTGTACAAATGGATAGGCGATTGCTTGGAAATTACAGCTAATGCTTCACAACGAGTCGGAGTTTTAGATGTTACTGGCTGTTAGAGCGCAAGCACACTTTTAAATAAACTATCGCAGAACTGTTGTGTCTTTGATTGCTATAAGCTTTCATGATGCGCACTTCTCGATGTTTAGGTGTACAACTAAACAGATGAGTGGCTGCAAAACAATCGACAATCACACAACCGTTGTGCGATAGTTTAGTCCAGTCAGTGCTAAATGTCGAAAAAAAAGGCACCAAATATGTTTTACTACCTGTCCATTTATTTAGACCAGTGGTCTCATTACGTTTTGTTAAATTACGCGTTTTTGTACATGATTCCTGAATGGAAATCAACTAAAATGCTACAAACTCACCGACTATTCCGTCCCCTGCTGCAAATACTAGAAGTTTCGTCTCTAGACATTTGTGACGTGTGATTGCTGCCACGGTCCCTCGGGTCATTAATAAACGGCCTTTTCTGCATAAAGAAACTATAGTTATTAGGCAATTTAATGAAATTAAATATAAAAATAACATACAACTTGCCCTTGTTATATGATCAGGAGTTTTGATGATTTTTAATACATACATTTCACATTTACAAATTCCATTGCAATCCATTAAACCATTTAGGCTACAAACTCTAACATTGGTAGTACCCGCTTTAACATCTTAGCACTGCAGGGCCAGCACGCCCGGTGTAATACCACGACCACACAGAAGACAGGCGTGAAATGGAACCAATGCCGTGTTTCATCTGATGAGTGTGGTGCCGGACGCCTAATTTAAGTCCCTTTCTCTTTACCACCCTTTTCTTATGAGAGGATGGGAAAGGGAAGTGGATTTGACGATGGAGGAGATGCATAGGAAGAGGAAATATCCTCTTTATGTGCGTCTCCTCCTCCGTCGGATAAGGGTAGGCGACGCATCTGCAATTGTAGTTGTCTATGGGTAGCGGTCGCTTCGCCATTTTGGCGGATTCAGGTGGCCGCTTGCTCGTTTGCCATCTCATGTTATAAAAAAAAAAAATCCACCCATCTAAACTTTCGCATTTATAATATTAATATGCTTTGCTTATTTACCTTGTGTGCAATATTTACAAACATTTTGAGTGGTTCAGTCTTATTTAGTTTCATCATAGCAAGCTTGGCTTCCCTAAAACAAGAAAATATGTTGAAACAATATTGTCCAAATGTACATCTCTACTATTATAGTAATGCGTAAACACACACTTCTTTGTTGCCTAAGACGTCAGCAATTACACCATATTTTTGAATAACTCCTTTTCTAATAAAAAGCCCTAAACTTATGTCACGCTTTAGGCTATATATTTTCACGTTATTAAACTTAGGAGGGTAAATATTTTGGATAAAAACCCTAATGTGGAAAAGAGACCATAAGTCGCTGCCAACATCAAAGAAGCTAGGTTGCCATGATTAGTTGTCATGTCATTTTGACATTTGCAATTGATAATTTGACACATGTAAACAATAAAATTAGTGATGGGACTCGAGTGATTTTTTTTCACTCGAGTCACTCGGTACTCGTAACTTTCTCACTCGAATGCCACTCGAGTGAAGGTAAGACTCGAGTGATGTTTATAGACGCGAGTCACTCGGAATATAAAAATCGAGGAACCAAAATTTTAAAACCAATAAAACAATGTTAATTTAACATAAAGAAATTATTTTCGCATTAACTTAAAAGTTACTCAAAAAATCTGTACAAAATGTGTAAAAATAGTGTTTTCCTTATATCATCTATTAGTTGAAATTTTATAGTGTACTATAAATAAGTTCAAATCCATTTTAATAAATTCTTACAAGTAATTTTCATGAGATCAAAATATTTTGATTTTGTTGAGTTTGATTATGTTCTTACACAATTTTGATAATAATCATACTTTAAAATTTTAAAGTTAAGTTAAGTAAAGTTAATTAACTTAAACAAAGCTTAAATAAACTCTATAAAAGAACAGAAATAGTGTGTTTTTAAAAAGATAACAAATTTAACTGAAAATGCTGTAAAAATTTCTTACTCCGCTTAGTATAAACCAACAAAATGGTTACGAGTCACTCGTAATTCGAGTCAACTCGAGTCACTCGCAACTCGGGTTGTCAAAAATTTCACTCGAGTCCGAGTAAGAAAAAAATGACTCGAGTCACTCGAGTAAAAAGCAACTCGAGTCCCATCACTAAATAAAATGAAATTTTCATAATTTTATGCGGATGAAGTCGCATGGGAACAGCTAGTATTATAGAAAGGAAAGGTTTGTATTTTTGTATGTATTGAATTAACTCAAACTCCTGGGCCGATTTTTTTAATTCTTTCACCATTGTGAAGGTAATTTATCTGTGAGTAACATAGACTTTATTCTCATCATATTTTATTAGAACTAGTGTTCAGGAACAATTAATAAACAGAGTATTTCTAAATCAACAGATTATAACAATGGTAGAGCCCACTTTAATACTTCGCACTGTAGGGCCCGCCAGCAATACCACTACCACACACAAGACAGGCGTGAAGTGGAAGAAATTCCGCGTACACTCTGATTACGAAGGCCCAACTTTAGTCCCATTTTCCTTCCCATCCTTTTTCTGTTGGAAAGGGAACGTGGATTTGACGGTGCAGGAGACGCATAGTAAGGGGAAATAGCCTTTTGCTCATTTGCCACTTTATGATATAAAAAAGGAACATCTATCTGCCATAATTTGTAACCTTCCCATCCTTTCTAATAATTGATTTTCCAAACAATTTTTTTCCTACACTTAATCAACAGAGAAGAGGCGCATGAAGAGGATATATCCCCTTCCTATGCGTCTTCTCTAATGTCAAATCCAATTTTCCTTCCTATCCTCCTGTTATAAGAAAATGGGTGGAAAAGAAAAGGGACTAAAGTTGGGCTTCCGGCACCACTCATCAGGCTGTACATGGATTTGCTCCAAGCCTGTCTTCTGTGTGGTCGTTGTATTACACCGGGCGAGCCCTACAGTGCGAAGATGTTAAAGCGTGTTACCACTACCTACTACCTACTACCACTGTTAAAACTTAACCTAGTATAACAATTCAAACATACCCTGATGTTTCATACTTGACCAATGCATAGCGTTTATTCAGATCACGGCTAAGAAAAGATTCTTTAATAGTACCATATTTGCTAAATATGGTACGCAATCCATCATCAGTTAAATTCCATGGTAAATTTGTGATGTAGATCCGGGTGTGGTCTAGTTGTACACCTCTGCTGTAACAAAGATAGGTTTCCACTGCATATCTTCATCATCACCAGATTTATATATTAAAATAACTCGAAAACTGTTTAGCTGATTTCAATAAATCTTTCACCATTAAAAAGTTATGTTATATAGGCTATCTTTCTATTATTTACTAGCTTTCGCGCGCGACTCCGTCAGCGTGTAAGTAAAAAATAACAATAGTGTGTAGCCCATGTTCTTCCAGAGTATCCTCTACGTCTATGCCAAATTTCATGGAGATCCGTAAAGTCGTTTAGGCTACAAACTTTAACAAACATCCATTTAAACTTTCGCATTTATAATATTAATAAGATTATTTCATCATCATCATCACCAGCTCACTATAAGTCCCCAGACTCGGAACCTGTGATAAGTTATGGTGACTAGGCCATAGTCAACCATGCTGGCCAAATGCAGGTTGGTCAACTGCACACATATCTTTGAAATTCCTTGCTAATACGTGCAGGTTATGGTTACCGTAAGAATGTCGGGTAAATTATGTACATATGAAAATTTGAAAATCACAGGTACAGCGGGATTCGAACCCAAGATCTGTAGATTACAAGTCAAGTGATTAAACCACTGAGCCACCTTATGTATATCTTACTAATATTAAAATTAATAATAATAAATGACGCATATGAAGTATCGAATTCAATTTCTATGAAGGCAATTGTCATACTTAATAGACAGATATCGCAGTGACGAAACAAACACGCAGCAAACAATTATGAAGTATCGAATTTGGTTTAAATAATTATCGAACTCAACTAAAATTATTATTTTCTTATTAACTAATTTAAAGGACAATTCTAGTATTGATTATAGTGTAGAGAATTTAGCGATGACAGAAATAATAGCGAAATCCAATTAGATTATGTACAGCTGTAGTAGTAATAAACATTTATTTACTCTCATTATTTGTTATGGTCATTATTAATTTGAGAAAACAGTGTTTTTTTTTTATTTCATGAGTTATAACTATAAATCTATCAATTCCAACTTCTATAAGAATAAAAATCGAAAAACAATAAGATTCCTGACTCATATTACACAAACCATCCCTACTAAATTTGAAATGAGTTGTCATACTAATCTAAATTATTTAGACACAATATCTACAATTTTCACATGTGGTGTGAGATTGTGAAAAATCACCCAAATGAAGTGTCAACTACTACCACTAAATTTTATGAATATCTTGGTCTCCTTTTCTTATAGAAATACTTACCCTGCGTTATCATCTGGGTATTGTGGGTCAAATGTTGAATTGTTGAAGTCATCTCTCATAGGATCCCAATCTTGACTTTGGTTTCCCCAACTTCTGTTTGCCATTTAACTGTAACATTGTTATTTATTAGCTTTCGCCCGCGACTCCGTACGCATGGGATAAGAAAACAAAAGTGAGTATGTGTTCTTCCAGACTATCCTCTACATCTATACCAAATTTAATTGAAATCGGTTCAGCCATTTAGGCTATAAACTAACAAACATCCATCTAAACTTTCGCATTTATAATATTAGTATGATATAGACATCTTATGAGAAGGGATGAACATGTTACAAGAACTTTATTTATGAGTGTGGAGGTTTTTTTATAGAATATGCGGGTATAAGTAGTGGATCGCTTGGTATTAAATCTGATGCCCACTAACATCCGCAATGCTATAGGAACTGCAGATGCGCTGCAAACCTTTGATAGGAATATGCTTGTTAGCTCCTCTTTACCGGTAGAGCTCTATCTCCATTGTCTGAAAGGTGTTACAACCAAATAGGGAGTGTTTCCTAGATGATGGATGATAGAGTTATTTGGAGAAGAAAAACCCGGATCGCCGACACTACGGGAATAGGATAAGGTAAGGGAGATAATTGTTATTTACAAACTACATGACAGAGCAATTAAATCAAGAATTACAAGAGTAGTATTGGGGACACTCCAAAATAAAAATGCGCAGTTCACACTTAGCCAGTGCAGTTGGACAATCGCATGGGTTAGATATAGATAGTAACTGTGACAGTTGGATGCCAGTTCAGTTATTAAAAGCTACTGACCAACTGTGGCCAGATGTGAACCGCGCCTAATTGCATAACAGAGTCATAATGTAAAAGTTACATCTTTTAATGATATTCATATGAATTTGTTGATTTCGAGTGCATTTTATTGAAGAGTATATTATTTTAGTAATTTTTTTATTTAGGAATTAAGTGTAATTTAACATCAAAATTTCAATGAACTAAACCAAGACGCTTATTTGGCATTTTTGTTCGAGATTAAAACAAATCTTGGAATAATTTGTTAGTAGTAACATTTAAGTTTTAGTCATCTAAAGCTTTCGTTAAAGCCTCTCAAGGCCATTATTTATGATAAACCAGTATTTAAAAATGGTGTATGCACGTGTGAAAAAAACCAGAAATAAATTTATATAGGAAATAACATCAACGTTTGTTATCATGATAAAATCTCAGTTTACATAATATTTGCAAAAATTTCTATTACTTACTCAATAATTATGTATATCTGCGAAAAGAACAAAACACCGGCAAAAACAAAGAAACAAAAATCGAATATTTTTGTGACTTTACGACTGCCACAGACATAGTCAGAAAATACTGGAGCAGAAACAGATTATATACACATGAAAAAAAAAATGTAAAGAATTATGAAACAGTGTAAAGAAAACAAAAACATAAATCGGAGACTACACTGTATTTTTTTAGGTTTATTTCTTATCGCTTTATTCCTATTTCCTAATTTTTAACACATTTTACAAGAATAAAATAAGTTCCAACTACAATACATTGCACATTTTCAAGTAACATCTATACTATCTGAAAAATATCATATAAATTAGATTTATAACGTCACTTATCAACTTTATCTTCTTATCTCCACGAATTATCATCACAATTTCACTTTTGTAATGCGTTTATATTCATAAGAGGGAATTTCCGAATGTATCACCTGCCCTGACATTTGTAACTGACATTGACAGATCTTACATTCCTGTCCTGTCTAACCTATGCCATTTGATAAGAAATTTATTGGAACAACACGAAGTTAAAGTAATAAATAATAAATAGTTTGCACCGTTTACAAATATGAAGAATGGATGAGTTCGGAAAGCACTCGGCCTCATATCAGCTCGATCAAGAAATATTAGACGGTAAGTAAAATGCATTACTTAGAATTTGAAATACGAGCTCGATTCTTGGAAGTAAAGCAACAGGTATCAAATGTGACGCAAATTTGTTTCCTGTTTTGTTTTTTTTAATTGTTACGGACGAATTAACATTTTAAGATACTTATTGTGTTTAATCTTTACCGAATAAAGTCTCAAAATAAGTGATGTAACAATATTATCGAAACATGACAGAAATTGTTTGTTATGAATAATCGTAAGAACTTTTTTTTTCTTATCTTTGAATTTTATGTGCCAGCTATGCTGTTTCGATCTTATATTTTTTTAAATTTAAATAGGTTACATTCCAATATATTTATAAATTAATTTCCGTTTCTATTGAATACAATGCCAGATTGTATTGAACGACAATTCAAAAGAATTCGAAGATTTAATTACGTATTGAGATACATTTAAAAGTATATAAAACTGTTAAACTATTAAATTTATTTTGTGGGTATACATAAAAAAGTATGTTATCAATATTTATGTCTAAGGAGCTTTCGACCGCGACTCCGTCCGCGTGGAATTAAAATAAAAACAAAACTGAATAGCCTATGTTTTCTTCCAGTCTATCCTCTACATCTATACCAAATTTCATCAAAATCCGTTCAGCAGTTTAGACTACAAACTGTAACAAACATCCATCCATCTAAACTATTGCATTTATAATATTAGTAAGATTTAACCTGCATCCTGTGGCCTCGAGAGTCAAGTGTCATAATTAATATATGAAGGCTATTACTTGCAACTTAATTTTATAATTTAAAAAAACTAAATAAGTAGCCTGTGTTCTTCCAGACTATGTTCTACATCTGTTACCAACATCAAGATCAATTGACTAGTTTTAGAGATACATAGTAACAAACATCCATCCATACAAATTTTTCCATTTATAACAGTCCAGCTTTTGCCCTTTTGTCTGTGCAGAATTAAAAACAATAAAAGTTAGTCTATGTGTCTATCCAGACTGAAAAAAAATGTTCTACATCTGTTTTACTTATTTTATTTATTGGTGATAACCACTCAGCAGATGTGCTGATCTTCCGTGGCTTTTAAAATAGATGGCACACATGTTTTACGCATAACAAACTCATTCTCCATTAAAAAATAAAATGTACATTGTCACTATATAATTTTGACATATGCAATTGAATGCCTCTTAGGCTGAAGGGACAGATCTACAAGTCCATCATAAGACCTGTCGTATTGTATGGATCTGAATGCTGGGCCACCAAAGTTGCGGATGAAAGGAGATTGCATGTGGCTGAGATGCGTATGTTAAGATGGATGTGTGGATAAAGTTAAGAATGTGTACATTAGAGGAAGTTTGAAAGTAGCGCCAGTGGTGGAGAAATTGAGAAGCAAAAGGTTAGCGAGGTATGGACATGTTATGCGACGAAATGATGGGGACATAAACCAGAAAGTGTTGAGATTGAATGTGGATGGCTACAAAGGAAGAGGAAGACCGAAGAAAGTATGGATGGATTGTGTGAAAGAAGATATGCTTAAGAAAGGAGTGAATTCAGATATGACGGCTGATAGAGATGTATGGAAGAGCAGCACATACTGTGCCGACCCTCCGTAAGAGATAAGGGCAAGTGGATGATGATGATATGCAATTGATAACCTGACACATTTAAACAACAAAATAATATTTTAGTGCGTATTGGCAGAAATCACGAATTAAATAACACAGGGTACAGGGTATGAGTTTATGTTTTATGTGTTGGACTTTTGTGTAGAAAGTAAAAGTGTCTTTATTTTAAATCTATGCTAGATTTTATCAAGATCCAATTAGCAGTTTAGGCTACAAACTCTAACATCCATCTAAACTTTTACATCTTACTTCTTAATAATCTTACTAATATTATAAATGTGAAAGTTTAGATGGATGGATGAATAAATGGATGTTTGTTATCGTTTGTAGCCTAAATGGCTGAATGGATCTACATGAAATTTGGCACAGGTTTAGAGCATAGTCTGGAAGAACACATAGGCTACTTTTTATCCCGGAAATAGTTACAGTTATATAGTTTGTATGTTTTCCAATACCACGCGGACGAAGTCGCGGGCACCAGCTCGTTTAAAATATTGGATAGTTACTTTTAAGCCTAAGAAGGGAAAAAAATCCTCTTTATGTATGCCTATAGGCACCTTTTCCTTGAATTAAAGTAACAGCTTGCTTGTTTTCCTCATAATAAAATAAAAAAAATCTTGGTTTACAGCCCGTGGCATCAATATGAAAGTAGAAGAGGTAGCGGGACTCTCGACCTGTAAATACTCCGCCAGAGTGCAAGCTCTGCATCTCAGTGATGATGACCTCGCATTCCTCAAAGGTCTGCGGAGAAGGATCAAGAATAGAGTATGTATATAAAGTTTTTCTACAGTAATATTATAAAGAGGAAAATTTTGTTTAATTGTAATGAATATAACAGTGACGGAGGCTCAGTGGTTTAAGCACTTGACTTGTAATCTACAGGTATTGAGTTCGAATCCCGCTGTACCAATGTGATTTTCGATTTTTCATATATACGTATAATTTACCCGACGTTCTTACGGTGAAGGAAAACATCGTGATGCCTGCACATATCGGCGAAGAAATTCAAAGATATGTGTGAAGTCAACTCGCAGTGGGCCAGCGTGGTTGACTATGGCCTAGTCACCCTTACTTTAGGGTAGGCTCCGAGCCCCTCGGTTGGGACGTATAGCGAGCTGGGGATGGGTATGTAATGAATACACTCAAAAACTACTCAATCTGAATAATCAATTTGGCATAGACATAGATAGTCTGGAAGAACACATAGGCTACTCACTTTTGTTTTTTCTATTTCACGCGAACGGAGTCGCGGGTTAATGCTAGTAGTATATAGTTTAATTAATGAATTAATGTCATCATTAATTGTGACAAGATCAAATAAAGTCATAAAGTTTTATCGATTTAAGTACAGTCACCTTCATTCGCGGTGTATCATTTACAAAAGTTATCCTGATACAAGATATATAATTTTTGTGTAAGGTTTTTACAAACAATATTGATATTTTTGTTTTGATGTGAAAGGTGATATTGAATAATATATAATTGAAATCTGAGGAGGTTCCTGTCTCTGCAGCCCTGACCACTGGTTGCTTGAGTCATCGGATTCCGCAGCCGGTGGTGTTCTATTTTTTATATAATATATTTTATTTTATTTTTATATCAAATGTATTGTATAGAAAATAAGAAATAAATATATAATTGAAATCTACCCTACCTTATCCTACTCCAGTAGTGTAGGCACCTGGTTTTCTTACTCCAAATAACAATCATCCGTCATGTCATTCCCTTCTTGATCATGTCCTTTTTACACAATGCATCCATCTCCTTTTGGTCTATCTCTACATCTATACTAATATAAAGAGGAAAGATTTGTATTTTTGTATGTATTGATATAACTCAAATACTACTGGGCCAATTTTTAATATTCGTTCAACCATTAAAAAGCTACGTTATCAGTGGGTAACATTGGCTAATTTGTGCTATTTTCCAATTTCCCTTGGAGTCGGAATTTCTTTATTAAAATAACAGTCTAGAATTTTTACAGTCAGCCTTACAGTTTTTGAGTTATTGCAACAGATAATAAAATAATAATACTAATGTTGGAACACCGCATGTGAAGCTGACTGTACTATTACGAGTATCGTGGGAGTCGGATCGCGGTGTCGTATTGCTTACGGTTAACCGCACGCCCAGTCATATGATACCGGAGAGAGTAGGACTGCTGGGCCAATGGCAGAATGGAATTTTCTGGAATGTCTGATCAAGATTTTTTTTTATAATATAAGGTGGCAAACGAGCAAGCGGCCACTTGAATCCACCGAAATGGCAAGCGACCGCTGCACATAAACATCCGCAATTGCGGCGCTGCCTACCCTTCATTGACGGAGACGCACATAAAGAGGACATTTCCCCTTCCTATGCGTCTCCTCCACCGTCGAATCCTTCCCATCCTTCCCCCGTAGGCATAGAAAGGGACTAAAATTAGTCCTCCGGCGCCACACTCATCAGCGAAACGCGGAATTACTTCCACTTCACGCCTGTTTTATGTGTGGTCGTTGTATTACACCGGGCGAGCCTACCCATTCGTGCGAAGATGTTAAAGCGGGCTATATCACTGTCCCACGAAATTGTAAATTGCCTGTACAATCCAACGTGTAAAATATTTGATGGAAATGTCGGATTTTGTTCCCTTATGTGACGTCATTTTTAAACTATCTGAGCCTCTATCAGCCAGATGTGGGACAAGCCCTAAGTAAGATAGTAATATCTAATACTTATTTCTTTAACACTAATACAAGATTAACTTTATTCCAGTTAGCGTCACAGAACAGTCGTCGACGCAGTATAGAACACTTACGTAGATTGGCCAGAGAGCTACGAGCTGTCCGAGCTTGCAGAGAGGATGTGATATCTGAACGAAGGAATTTACTTGCTCAGAGAGATGTTGTGCGAACACATTGTTTGAGGTTAAGAAGACATTTAGTACAGGTAAATATTCTTTGTGTGTTGGAGAATGACTTTGCGCCCGTGTAGATTAAAAAAAAATAATAAAAAATATAGCCTATGTTACTAAGTGATAATGTAGCTTATTATGATGAAATTAAAATCGGTTCAGTAGTTTTGAGTTTTTATAATATTGGCTTTCGCCCGCGACTCCGTACGCGTGGAATTAATAAAAACACAAGTGAGTAGCCTATGTGTTTTTCCAGACTATCTTCTACATCTGTACCAAATTTCATCGAAATCCGTTCAGCAGTTTAGGCTACAAACTCTAACAAACATCCATCCATACTTTCGCTTTTATGATATTAGTAAGACAAATCTTTCCTCTTTATAATATAGTATTTGAATTCTTTCAACATTAGTTATCCAAGTTATCGCGGAGTAACTTAGGCTATATTTTTTATTTAACATAGATGAAGTCGCGAACAACAACTAGTACCTAATTATCTACTTTCTCTGCCCAATTCTTATAAGAATGGGAAGTGAAAATGATTTTTATATTAAAAGACTCGAAAGGGGAAATATTCTTGCTTCGCTTTTTTGGCGAATTCAGGTGAATCATCATCCAAGGTCGTTTGCCGCTTTAAAAAAAGTCCCTGATTAATAACTGTATCTAATGTTAAGAAAATCGGTACTGCGTTCGAGGATTAGTGCAACACTAGAATATCGGCATACAAGTCCCATCCCTATGACAGCTGTCGATGTCATTCTGACGTATTAAAGCGCGCCATTTTCGCAGAAGTTAGTGGTGCCAGTATTAAAGTTAATTACGCGGTTACAATTATATTTGTTGAGAATTAAAGAGAAATAGGGACAAAATAAAAATCGCCTCAAGGACATGAACATTATATTTTTCACTTGACAGCTTGACAGTTATAAGTAGGAATGAAGATTAAAAAAAAAACAAAAAAATACCCAATTACCAAAATATTAATGTCCAATACTAATCATGGAATTTTATCTCTTTCCAGGTGTTAAAAGAAAGATCAGACACAACTTTAGTGCCCGAAGAAGATTTAGATAGAACAGAAGTAAGAAAAGAAGAATCTCAAACTATCAAACCGTCCAATACAAGAATCAATGAGACCAAATGTAACTTTAATAGAATAAAATTCCAAGATGTACAGAAGAATATAAAAGAAGAGAAGATTTACACAGAAGATATATTGGAAGAAGAATTTAATGATATAAAAATATTCGAATGTCGTATCGATAAATTGGTTCAGCAAAGCGTGAATCATATATTTAAAGAAGAGAAGAAGAAGATTTGTGCCAAGACTATATTTATAACGGAGAATATACTGGAAGAGAAGAATGATGGTGTTTTGAATTTATCTGTTAAAGAAGGAAGAAGAAAGAGTCATGGTAGAAAACAATCTGCTCCAAGAAGAATTGCTTATGTATATGATGGAAATGGTAACACCTCTTTTTAATTTATTAGTACTAGCTGTTGCCCGCGACTTCGTCAGCGTGGTATTAGAAAACATACGAACTATAAAAAACAAAAATCTACGTATCCCGGGAACCGGACATTTCTCGGGGATGAAGCTTATCCCATGTGTACTCCACACTTTGTTTTATATCTGTGCCAAATTTCAATAAGATATGTTGAACCGTTGCATGATCGAGTAAACATTAAAAAACTAAATTAATGAATCCCACGGGAACCGTAACTATTCCCGGGATAAAAAGTAGCCTATGTGTTCTTCCAGACTATCCTCTATTACTATGGCAAATTTCATGAAGATCCGTTCAGCGGTTTAGGCTACAAACGCTAACAAACATCCATCTAAACTTTCGCATTAATATTTATACGATTTAAAAAAATGTTAATAAATATATTCTATGTCAGTCTATTATAGTGTAGCTTTCTAATGGTGAAAGATTTTTTAAAATCGCTTCAGTAGTTTTTGAGTTTCTTTGTTTCATGCAAAAATACAAATATTTCCACATTAAAATAATAATAATAATAAACATTTAATCAGCTCAAAAACACAAAATACAAACGAGAAAAAAAAAGACATTTACTATTTATAATCAAAACTAATAACAGATGGCAAAAACAAATTGCCGTAAGAAATAAAAAAAAACAAACACTAAAAATATATTACACATTCTAACCATGTGTTGCAATGCAGAACTGATAGGGCCTTTGCTCAGCTATATGTTAATACCCCGGGGGGTAAAAACGCTGATATTCTGCAAAAGGTAAATAAGGTAAATAGTTAGCGAAGTCCTTGAAAACATTTGAAACATGGAATTAGGAAACAAATTTTACTAATTACTAGCTGTTCCAGTGCGGATTCATCCGCATGAAATTATAAAAAAAATTATTTTATTGTTTACATTCGTCAAATTATTAAAGCAAATGTCAAAATGACATGACATGACAAAGCATGGCAATCTTGATTCCTTGATGTTGGCAGCAACTTACGGTCTCTTTCCCACATTAGGGTTTTTATCCAAAACATTTACTCTCTAAGTTTAATGGGGTGAAAATATATAGCCTAAAGCGTGACGTAAGTGTAGGGTTTTTTATTAAAGAAGGAATTATTCAAACATATGGTGTAATTGCTGACATCTTAGGCAACAAAGTACTGCGTGTGCATAAGTGTGTGTTTACGCTTTATTATAATAGTATAGATAAATACTAAAGTTTGTATGGATGTTAATACATATATGTATTCGAGAAGAACACAGAATACTGTTTTCAAAGAATATCGTGGAAAGTCGCTTGTAAAAAGAAATCAGTTAAATTAAGTAACAGCGCCATCTATATGCATGAATTTAAAATTCTGAAATATTGCCAGTTATTTAATCTTTGTAATATTTTTCCAGATGGCGTCCTCGATTTAAAAATAAAAAAAGAGCCGCAGTGATCAATTTAAAGACAGATTAGTATATAAGATATTATTTACACGTATGTACAGACCAAAAAATATTATATATTTGTATATTTTATCTGGTTAATGATTTTCGTTTTACCAAGAGCTTATGTAAACACAAACTACGAGATTGTCGAAAACTCGACACTAAATAATTTAAAATGAAATATTTTATTTTAATAACCATATAAATGTAAATATTTTTTATTCACAATTTTCACAAAATAACTTTCTCTTTCTCTCATATTTTAACCTCCAATTATAGAAAGACACAAACAAGACGTTTTCTCTATTTATTTAATTTCGATTTTGTATTCAATAGTCAAAAAACTCACACTTCATAAGCTCGGACTAAAAAAAAAGAAAAAACTTTTAATCTATGGTAACTGTCGATTGTCAAATTTGACATTTGGCGGCAATATTTTTATTTAGCTAAGAAAACGTATGATAGTATGATTTTAGGCGAATTCGATAGAAGTAAGAAATTATATATACACTAGCTGTTACCCGTGACTTCTTCCACGCAATATTAATCAAAATTAGCCTATGACATGCGGGTCTATGTCAGCTACCTCCAGTGAAAGTCCGGTCGAAATCGGCCCAGACGTTACGGAGAAGACAGACAGACAGACGAAATATTAAATGCGATTTTCGTTATCAGCAACGCAGTTATATCATCTTCCTGAAATCTGGAAATTTTCTTTTGATATTAAAAACAGACACACCAATCTATATTTTCTATCCACACATAAAATTAAATTTGAGTGTCTGTTGTATCAAAAGAAAAATTCCAGATTTCAGGAATATGATATAATTGCGTTGCTGATAACAAAAATAGCATTTTATATTTTGTCTGTCTGTCTGCAAGCCGCGTTTGTTCCTGGTAATCTCCGTAACCTCTGGGCCGATGTCAACCGGACTTTCACTGGAGGGTAGCTGACATAGACCCGCATGTTACATTTTTCAATTCTGCCCTGTCAAAATGGCGTGGTCCTTTGAGCAAACTAAGTTTGCAAGCGACAGCTCTTTTTGTTATATCTATAGATTTAGTGAAGTTTCAATGTTGATACAAACAAGACTATAATAAGTCTGTTTACTTATAAAAAGACTAGCTGTTACCCTGCGACTTCATCCGCATAAACTTATGAAAATGTTATTTTATTGTTTACATGTGTCAAATTATCAATTGCAAATGTCAAAATACCAATTACCTAACAATGGTAATTTTGCTTTCTTGATGTTGGCAGCAACTTATGGTCTCTTTCCCACATTAGGGTCTTTATCCAAAATATTTACCCCATAAGTTTAATGGCGTGAAAATATATAGTCTAAAGCGTGACGTAAGTGTAGCGCTTTTTATTAATAAAAGAAATATTCAAAAATATGCTGTGATTGCTGACATCTTAGGCAACAAAGAAGTGTGTGTTTACGCTTTATTATAATAGTATAGATAATAATTTCTTATTTCTATTGAATTGTGTTATATCGTTATGCAACGGCCAAAGATTTAAATTCTCTGCCAAACTTTATTCCATGTTGTATAAAGTGCGAAGCACGAAAATATAGCTATCCCTTTCTCTCAAATATTTTACATCGAATGTTTCCATTCATATTTATGCTCAAAGCTTTTGTAAAACAAGGAATTTTTAAAGTATTTCAAACTAAAGTATAAACAAATATTTTGTACTTTATGTACAAACGGGGAATTTGTCGGTGTCCCACTTTAAGCTACAATCTTTTGAACGTTTTGTTCTCATTGAGACGAAAATCAATAGGACGCAGCTTTTAATGTTTTTTATATATCACTGGTAATTTTCATTGCAACCTATTTGTTTATTTGTAAGAGACTGAGTTTGTCTTGTTACAAGTGACAAGTTACTGTAAGTGGAACACCGCGGATTGTCGTGATTGTACGTCAATTTTAAGTTTTTTGGATTATGCTCAAAAGCAGATTGACAATGCTAGTCTCTCCTAAACTAGAATAAAACCATCAAAATGCCAGAAACAAGATATTTGTAACTTGTTAGACGTAAATATTCTGTCTTGCGGTTAATCTTTGTCGTTTAGGTATAAAAGATTCCTTGTCTACTCTATGATGAAGGCATGTTATGTTTTTAATTTAGTTTTATGTTCGTTGAGTATCCGTTTTTAAATCTTTGGTCCAAAGCGAATTTTACAAAAAAACGTTATGTAAATGTTTATATACAAGTATTGTTAAGCGAAGAAAATCTCCAAGGAAGATATGACCATATTATATGTGATGTTGAATTTAAATAAATAATATTAGTTATTCAAAATGAGTTTTATTTCATCAGACTAGTTAATGTTTTAAAAGTAATTGAAACAGCACCGCTGCAGAGTTGGATATTTCTAAATTTAGTGCATTATAGTGCCATCTGTTATTAGGTACTGTTGGATTTCTTAAATTGCTGTTATGAAGAAATTTGGAATTATGTCATCTAGCGTCGAGTAGGAAAAGCTTTGATAAAATTATTTGTTGCGAAACAGAACAGCTAAATTTTTATTACATTATTTGGAAATTATGAAAACGATTTAATATTACAAACAAACAGTATTAACAACTGTTTTTTATCATTGTTAAATCAGCAAGAGAAAAGAACATGCCCTTGTTTAATTTTTAAACTGCCAACATTAATCTGAAAAACGACCTCTAGCGGTACTTTTCGAAATCTTCCCTTTTGTCTTCTTCAATCCAATATGGCGGCAAACGGCGTATGAACGGTGCAGAATGTTTTGATTTGAATTGTCCCATAAAAAACTCAAAAAACCAACGAAACCCGTAAAAAAATACGCAATGGCCGGCGCGATTTATATGGTGCTGTTCTGAGTCCGCGACATGTGTGATAACGCGCTTGTTTTGTGTTAATAACAGTATTAATTTGTGAATTCGTGTGTTAAAATATGAGATAATATTTACTTGATGTTGTTATTAGTGGTGTGTGATAGTAGGTTACGCGCTAGATATGTCTGCCGATGATAAAGACACGATATACCCTACCACGAGTGAAGAAACATCTGATATTGTGAAAAATGTAAACAATAAAATTTCCGATGAAAAATGTGACAAAACGGCTAAACCTTCACGGAAAGTCTCATTTCCGAAGGAAGAACAATTAGTTACTAAATACTTCGAGCCTTTCAACCCCTGGGAGGATGGTAAGCATAATCCAGGTTTAATCTTATTGGAAAACAAAGATGTTCATTTCTTTGTCTTCTGTAATTATGTTCAAATGTAACATGCGTTACGTATTTTACTAGAAAAATAAACAACTCTGAGGGTATTGTAGGAATTATAATCATTGATTTCATTTAAATTTTATAACCTAAAGTATATAAATTTAAACTAAGTGTAAAAAATTACGTTGTACTAAAGTTCTGAAATACTTAGTAATGACTTAAATCATAACATCTATATTAACAAACTGTTGCTCCCAACTTCACGTGAAATTACAGCCTAAGTAACAGATAAATTACCTTTCTAACGGTGAAAGGATATCCAAAATTAGCCCAGTAGTTTTTCAGTTATTACAAAAATATAAAAATACAAATCTTTCCTCTTTATAATAGTATAGATACCAAAACCAAAGAATTAACTAAGATAATAAATCAAAATTCAACAAAAACACAGTCTATTTCAAAGTAAATTACCTTTTTATTTATAAAAGTTAATTTAGGAACATTTTATTTATATTTTTATGTCAATGAATAACCTTTATATACATTGTCATATATTTTAATATCTCAATAGTTGTTTTGTTATTGAGAACAAACTACTTCCAGCTTAAATAAACTTAAATAAAACTATAAAAACTTTGTTATTGTTTAAATTAGTACTAACTACTACTATAGATATAGAGCATAGTCTGGAAGAACTCATAGGCTACTCTTTATCCCGGGAATAGTTACGGTTCCTGTGGGATTCATTAATTTAGTTTTTTAATGTTTACTTGATCATTCTGCAACGGTTCAACATATCTTATTGAAATTTGGCACAGATATAAAACAAAGTCTGGAGTACATATAGGATAAGGTTCATCCTCGAGAAATGTCCGGTTCCCGAAGGATACGTGGCTTTTTATTATTTTATAGTTCGTATGTTCTCTAATACCACGCGGACGAAGTCGCGGGCAACAGCTAGTAGTATATAATTTATAACACGGCTAAACTCACGTGGCAACCTTTGGTGTACACACTAACCAGTTTCAGACTCATCGGTGGTACTTCTTCAGGGTGAGTGGTTACCTCTGTGGTGGAATAAAGCCGGTAACCACTTACCCTAAAGAGGGACCCCTGACAGGTCTGAAACTCATTAGGGTTTTTATCCAAAATATTTAATGTTGTGAAAATATGTAGCCTGAAGCGTAATGTAAGTGTAGGGCTTTTTTATTAAAAAAAAGTATTATTAATAAATATGCTGTAATTCCTGACATCTTAGGCAACAAAGAAGTGTGTGTTTACACTAACATTTAGTACATATAAACCCAAGATATAAGTGAGTCATAACATATGTATTGACCACAAACAATCTGTGGTAAGAGATATTCAGAATTAGTTATCTTAGATGTAATTATAGGAACTTAGAATGATTTTATCCCACTGACATACATGTTTACTAGCTTTAACCGTGACTTTGTCTGTGATATGATCAAAACTTAAATAGCATGTGTTCTTCCAGACTGTTTGGAGATTTAACGGAGGCCTAATTTTACTTTTCCACTCTTGTCTTGAGTGTCGGTGGCTCAGTTTAAGCACTTGACTTGTAATCAGGTCTTGGGTTCGAATCCTGTACCTGTGATTTTTGACTTTTCGTATGTTCATATGTACATAATTTACCCGACATTCTTACGGTGAGGGAAAACATCTTGATGCAACCTACATATATTGGTGAAGAAATTCAAAGATATATGTGAAGTCAACCCGCAGTGGCTTGCATGGCTGACTATGGCCTAGTCACCCTAATTTAAGGTAGGCTCTGAGGTCCTCGGTGGGATGTGTAGTGAGCTGGTGATGATGATGGTGACGAATATATAACTGGATGGATGGCCTAAACTACTAAACGGATAATTAGACATAGATGTAGAGGATAGTATGGAAGAACACAGGCTACATTTTTTTCTAGTAAACCAAATAAAACGACTTTAGCGCCCCTTCCGCTATTCGGCCCGTATGACCCGAGGGTCGGTGGGGTCATGGGTGGTGGTCACTTTAAATAAGACCTAATTCTACCATATATCAGCTAACGACGCCAATTGTCATAAATAATTTATACGAGTCGCGTTTTAAGTTAGTGGAAATAGGGTTTAATCTTACATTTGACTAATCCAGGTCCAAATTATAAACACAAAGTTATGAACGACCATTAGAAATGATAAATGAATTCAAACCAAACCCACCTGTGGATATCTATCATAGTTACACTTATCTATAACGATTATAAGGTAGGTTCTCACTGATGAAATACCTGTACATTATCTCTTTAAAATCTATCTATACGTATAATCAAATTGGAGTGTCTGTTTGTAATACCAAAAGAAAAAACGATGTATTTCTGTTGTTGATAAATTAATCGCATTTTAATTTTGTCTGTCTGTCTGCAAGCCGCGTTTGTTCCGGGTAATCTCCGAAACGGCTTGGCCGATTTAGACGGTACTTTTACTCGAGCTGACATAGACCCGCATATTGTAAGCATTTTTTTTAAATTTCGCGCTGTCAAAATTACGTAACGGGTGATCCAATCTTTTCAGTGGTAGTGCCCGCTTTAACATCTTAGCACGAATGGGCCGGCACGCCTGGTGTAATACCACGACCACACATAAGACAAGCCTGAAATGGAAGCAATTCCGTGTTTCGTCTGATGAGTGTGGTGCCGGAGGCCTAATTTAAGTCCCTTCCTCTTTACCATTCTTTTCTTATAAGGAGAGGTTGGGAAGGGGAAGTGGATTTGACGGTGGATGAGATACATAGGAAGGGGAAATGTCCTCTTTATGTGCGTCTCCTCCCCCTTCGTATAATGGTAGGCAACGCATCTGCAATTGCGGATGTCTATGGGCAGCGGTTGCTTCGTCATTTTGGCGTATTCAGGTGGCCGCTTGCTCGTTTGCCACCTTCTGTTATAAAAAAAAATTGCGCTAACGAAGTTTGCGGGCGACAACTTTGACTACGTAGAAAACGGACTAAGCAGTTGTAGTATGTAACAGCTTTGAAAAGATTCGACTACTTACGTACTAAACCGTTGAACTATTCAACAACTAAAGTGTACAGATATCCGCGACTGTACGAGACACGGACGATAGCTAGTATTGTATATCACTTGATAGATGGGATGCGGGCTTGTTAGATCCTGTCATTCAAATTCGAAGTGAATAAACATTGTTTTAGTGCAGTGGAAGCCCACGGTTAACATTACTCGTATCCAATTAACGTGATCTTGGCACGGTGTTGGGTTAGTCATGCATTATGATTGTCTTGGCTTGCGTGTACAGTAGGGTTGTAACGGAGGACATTTTAACGGAAGCGGATGCGGATGCGAAGGCGAAGGGCTTTACCTCAGCAGAAGCGCAGTTCAATAAAAAAATATTAATTGCGAATTATTAAAGAAATCAAAACTACTTTAATTAAAAATACAGAATGGTATATAAATATAAGATACAGTTTATTATGCAAATAAAATGTATAACAATTATAGTTAGTTGATATATCACGCTCGCGTGGGCGTAAACGTTACCTAACCGCCCCACTCGCGTTAAAGACGTAAATTAACCTCCGTTATAACTCCGCAAAAGAAATGACGGAAGCGGATGCGGAGTTATTCTTAAGGAAGTTACGCACTTGCGGATGCGGAAGCCGAGTTCCGTTACAACTCTAGTTTATACTATAAAAATCTGTTGAAATAAAGATGTAAAAGTTTTTTCTTCCTTTCGTCTTTGTTTTCTTTCCAAGAGCTTTTATTGCGATCATTGTTGACTAAAATATCGGACAACTGATTAGTCTCGGTTTGATTCCTCTGAGCTTATATGATGCGCACTACTCGATTAGTTGTGCGACTAAACAGTTGGAAACTGTGCAACAATCGACAAACGCAACAGTGCGATAGATGTCAAAGTCCGCATGCTCTTAGTGCCTGTCTCAACAAATTGTAAATTGTCTGATAATAATCCAAATAAAATATGTGATGGAAATATCGGATTTTAGTACTAAATAGAACGTTACTTAAGAGTGTACACCGGTAGAGGTAGACGTAGAAAGAGATGGATGTATTGCGTGAAAGGTGACATGATCAAGGAGTGATGACAGATGACGTATGATAGAGTTTGGAGGACAAAATCCTGTTGCGCCAACGGGAGTAGGTTGAAGAGGATGATGATGAATCTATCTGACAGTGACGTCACTTTTAGCTATCAGCCAGTGGTGGGCCAGTCACTGTCGTAAATTACCAAATAGCATAAAAGTAAATAAAATAGTATAAAAATGTCTGTCTGTGTCCATGTTAATGTTAGGTGATAAGTTGATCTTGATTAAAATGAGTCAGTAAGCACTTTGGTGATGTAATGTTTTCAGCTAGTTTGACAAAATGTATTTATTCACAATAGAATCTACATATACTTATCTATAGTTCTATACTATTATAATAAAGCGTAAACACACACTTCTTTGTTGCCTAAGATGTCAGCAATTACAGCATATTTTTGAATAAAGCTTTTTTAATAAAAAGCCCTGCACTTACGTCCGCTTTAGGCTATATATTTTAACGCCATTAAACTTAAGGTGTAAATATTTTGGATAAAAATCCTAATGTGGGAAAGAGACCATAAGTTACTGCCAATCAAGGAAGTAAGATTTCCAAAGTTTGTCATGTCATGTAATTTTGACATTTGCAATTGATAATTTGACAAATGTAAACAATAAAATAAAGTTTTTATAATTTCATGCGGATGAAGCCGCACGGGAACAGCTCGATATAAAATAAATCCATCCGCTTCTTATAAGTAAAAGGGTGGGAAGGAAAACAAAAGTTAGGCCTCCGGCACCACAATCATCAGAATCACGCGGAATTCCACTTCACCTCTGCATCACATTAGCTGCATAAATAGTTTTGGTGAAACAATAAATATAGTATACAAGATTTCATCCGCGACTCCGTCCACGTGGAATTAAAA